ATCTGTGTTCCTGCCCAGGTGCGACCCCAGCTGCTACGGCTGGTGCATGACCACCCACTCGGGGGCCACGATGGGGAACGACGTACTCGAGAGACCCTGCGTCGCCAGTATCTCTGGCCCAAATTGGCACAAGACGTGGCGGCCTGGGTACAGGGCTGCCGCGCCTGTCAGCAGTGCGGGCCGAAACCGGCACGATACCAGGTACCCCTAAGGCCGTTCCGCGTCAGCCGCACGAATCAGCTGGTTGGGATCGACCTACAGGGGCCATTCCCGCGATCCCATCGAGGCAACCGATATATCCTAGTCGCAGTAGAGTATTTCACCCGCTACCCCGTGGCAGTGGCCATCCCTGATAAAACGGCCTTGGTGGTGGCCCGGGCATTTGTGGAACACTACGTACTTAAGCACGGGATCCCAGAACGAGTCCTCACCGACCAGGGTAGCGAGTTCGAGGCCGAGTTGTTCCAGGCACTGTGCCGAGAGTTCGGAATCCAGAAGGACCGAACCACAGCGTACCACCCCCAGGCGAACGGGATGGTGGAGCGCATGAATCAGACCTTATCGGGGAAACTCAAACGTATGGCGGCCGCAAATCAACGGGATTGGGATGAACACCTCCCCTACGCCCTTTTCGCCTACGCCACCACCGTACACACGTCGACGGGACAAACCCCGTTTTTAATGATGTTCGGCCGTGAGTCTCGTTTACCCGCAGATCTGCTATTCGGCGTCCCTTCCCCCCAGCCGGAGGAGGGAAGCCGCCCCGTGGAACACCTGTTGGAGACCCTACGAGAAGCCCGAGGCCGAGCATACCCGCAAGGGGAAGCCGCGCATCGGCGGCAGGAACAGGGCACCCGACCCCGCATGGAACCCCCCTTATTCCTGACAGGTGCTAAGGTGTGGCTACACACCCCTCGCGTCGGGGCCGGGCAGGTGGGGAAACTGACGACCTACTGGCGGGGACCCTGGACCGTGGTGCGACAGATCTCCCCCTGGACGGTACTAATTGATGGCGGGGAGAGGGGTCGAGAGACGGTGGTCAATGTCCGCCGCTTAAAACCGTGGAAAGCGGCCCCGGCGAGAGAGAACCCCGTCACCCGAAGGCCCCAAAATCCCGGAGTACCCGCATCCCCCGTGCCCGGGGGCCTCGCGCAGTATATGGGCCCCACGGAGCCCAGGGCTCCGAGGGGCCCCGGGCGGGGCCGGGGGCGACGAGGACGGCGACCCTTAAACCCCACCGCTTCTGAGTTTGTTCCCCAGCCCGCAGGTGCCAGAGGCCGAGGGGAGCCGTTGGAATGGAGGAGGAGACCACCGCCGGAGCCCCAGGAGACGGAGCCGCCACCCCCGAGGCCAGCCACAAGGGCCGGGCGAATCCCGCGGACCCCGCGGCGATACCTCGTGGGGGCAACCCAGGCGAGGTGCTCCAGTCAACCCGGGACGGGGACTGGCACCCCGGGGGGCTATGTGGTGCCACAACGACGGGGCCGCTCTGCCGAACCAGGGAGCCGCCCGGCTTCCCCCACCGCACTGCCCCCCATCACCCGCCCCACATAAGCACACACCCGCACGCATTCCCCCCCCCATAGAGCTGGAAGGGAAGGTCACCTGATCGACCGGTTTTTATCCGAGAGGCCCTTATCGGGATTAATTCTCACGGTTTCCGGCGATCAGGGAATTGGATGACCTCCCCGTGCTACGTGGCACCGCGGCGCTGCGGCCGGCCTTAATATGGTAGGTCGTGGCGTGGGGCATTCGGCCACCGCGGTTGAGGCGCATTTCCCCCCACACACACTCCCACGGGTCGACGGGGCGAGCAGGGGAGGCACGGGACAGCATGAATAGCGGGGTCACAGGGGCTGTTGCGCATAGTCATGGAGGGTTGGGATAATTGCGCTTGAGCGCGCAGGCCCCATTGTTAGGGAGGATAAGGGATTAAGTAGGATTTACGCCTTGCACGCGGCACACTGATTAGCATATCAACAGCACCCAGAACCGCCGTGCGCGTGCCAGAGGATCGCGAGCCCATTGTTTAGCGCAGCATCCCCTTGAAGGTAGGGAGGATAAATAGAGGGGCGCAGAGGGAAAATAGCTCCCTTCTCTCCAGGCCAGCGGACCAGCAGGACTTCCAGCCAGCGACCCGGACGTCCGTGCGACGCATCGAGGTACGCTGTTAGCGCAGAGAGCAGCGAACCTCCGCGGGCACCAAACAGTGAGTGGGGAGGTGAAGTAGGGTATCGTAAGCCGATAAATAGGGAATAGGTACAGGTTTAGTGGAATAGGCCAGCCTCGTCGACTCACTGATTACACATCAATTCGCAGGTAGCATATAATAAATCATTAATAGCGAAGCGTGGTCTCGCGTGATCTTGTCGTGCGGTGTGAGCGTGTGGGTGCGCTGTGTGCACCGTGGTTCGCCACGTGAGTGAGCGCTGCGCGGAGCTGAGCGCGCGGGTTGCGTGGGGGAACGCGTGTGGTACTGTGTGTGCGTAAGCTCGCGGCGTGCGTAATAGGCGTACCCCAGGTGCGCGATCATAACGCAAGCGGCCAGCAGACGGCGAGCGCTGCGCAGAGCGGCGCAAGAGTGGGTGTCGCGTGTGTTCACTCCGTGTGTGATACAGGTGCGCGATCATAACTTGCGTAGTTGGTGTGGAGTTGGAGTGCACGGAGCGGCGTGTGTGTGTGTGTGCATACGTTCGTTACATGTCGGATACGGATGCGCATTGGTAACGTGCCGCACAGGGCTATACTGCGAGCACGGCGTTTGATTGACGATGATGTGCGCACGTATGCTCGCAGCGTGGGAGCGCGGCGCGAGGCTGTAACAGTAGGGGCGTCGCATTCGAATGCCGGCGAAACCGTAGCGAGTAATAGGGAGGTGGGGTAACGTAAACGGAATAGGGGATGCAGGCGGGAGGGACCCCGGGGGCCAACGGCCCCCACAGTTGCGTTGCAGTCCTTGCCTTGGCAGTAACAGTGGTTTATCAAGTGTTTTTTTGTTGGCGGTAGTGATTGAGGTAGTGGTAATAGTTGTAGAAGTGGTTGAGATGTACTCTTTGGTTCTTTCGGTAAAGTCACGTAGGTATAAAACATAAAATAAAAACAACAAATTAAATTATTTATGTTTTATAATAAAATATAAAAATGTTTTATACCTACGTGACTTTACCGAAAGAACCAAAGAGTATGGATCCCTGCAGTCACGAAAACTTCAAATCTATAATGGTTGAGATATTTCGATTTAAAGCTTTCGTGACTGCAGGGATTCATCTTCTTGGTTCTTTCGGTAAAGTCACGTAGAAGGGAAATAATAAAGACAGCGTCTGAATGGGCGCTGTCTTTCCGACAGACCTGTTCTTCACCTGAGGACGGCTGCTTGCGTTGTGACCGAAACGTCGTGAGAATTATTTTATTATGTTTTATTTTTATTATTTTATTATTTCCCTTCTACGTGACTTTACCGAAAGAACCAAGAAGATGGTTGAGATATTTTTAACTGTACAGTACTGCGTGTAAAAAAAAGTACGTATGTAAAAGTGTGTGTACAATGTAAGTGGGTGTAAGTGTGCATATACACATGGGTGTAGATGTATGTTTGAGTCGAAGTGAATATGTGTGTGTATGTAGAAGATGTGTATATATATACAGTATTTGTGCATGTATACAGAACTGTGTGTTAGCTGACCGTTGGTCAGGAGAAGCAGGCTGATCGTGGAAGCGGGCGAGAGTAGACTACACCAAAGAATTTCATTTTTAAAATAACATAATTTTTATGACAATAGAATAGAAGGCTAATATGTATAGAGCAAAATATCAACAGCACCCGAGAAAGTTCTGCAGCTAGAAACCCCGTTAAAAGTCTGACAAGAGCAACAGTGTTGCCTGCATCCTCCGAGAGTGAATGGCGAAACGATGCTACCGTTTAAGTTCCGATGAAAATTGGGCATTCTGCACCACCCTTTTGTGGAATTATGGCAACAACAACAACAAATCACGTGAGTCAGGCCCCAAATCCCGGTCGACCTCGGTTATTTCCATACATTAACCCTTTGCCAGCCTGGAGAGGTTCACTCTCGATGCCCACAGCAGTATTTCAGCCGTGGTAATAATGTGAACAATTCTAGATTTGAAGCTTTCGTGACTGCAAGGATTCATATTCTTAGGTTTCTTTCGGTAAAGTCACGTACGTAAAAAATGTAAATTAATAAAATTAAAATAAAATTTAAATCACGACATTGCCTCCTAAACGTCGTGATTTTTATTTTATTTTTATTTTACTTTTATTAATTTTTACCGAAAAAACCTAAGAATGTGAACAATGCATACTTTATACATTGTTGTATACTCGCTTTATATAAAAAAAAATGTAAATATACAAAAGAGGCAAACGGTGTTTCGATATCCTTATTTTGCAAACAAGGGAGTTCAATAACCCACCGACGTATTCACACAGGAGAGCCCAAAGTATACAAAATAAAAGTGTCAGTCTTCTCCATTTGTGGTCGTCAGCCGCGGTGAAGATGCCTTGCATGATCCACTAACCCCGCCGTTGTGAACGTCATGTTATTTTTGTTCACCTGGTTTGACCCATTATGTGCTATTTTTGTTCACCTGGTTTGACCCATTATGTGCTAAAAACAGTGCACAAGCCCCGATTACCCAAAGCCTCTTGGACCCCCGGCTGATTGCAGAATGTCATGTAGGCAGGATAAGGGAATGAGGTGGGGGGGGGGGGTGATAATTAATGTAGATAGGTCGCGTATGGGAGGTTCCCAGAGGTGGCTAACAAAACGACGCAGATCTTGTGCACGTCCGCACCCGACTTGTGACCAGCACAGGAGCGAGACGTCTCCTGCCTGCACTCCCATCAGCCACGAGCCATCCTCTCTACAGGTGCATAACTGAGCTACACTCACACAATGCTCTTAACAGTCTCTTACTTGCTTAATTCTAAACCAATTATTTGCAAATATGGACGTGTAATTAAGGAAAGTGGCAAGTTCACTTGGAATTGCTCATTAGTTTGGCAGTGTAGGACTCTTTGATTCTGAATATGAAATATACATCTAGTTGCCAGGCCACTTTTCTTAACAGATTTGTTTCTAAATCATGTTTTTCTAAGTAAAAATTGCCATTCAAGTGCTCAATAAAATAAATCACATTTCGGGCGCAAAACAAACGTCCGTCACCTGATGATGGACGCTTGTGCGGACGCTTGTGCTGCGCCCGAAACGTCGTGATTTATTTTATTTTATACCTACGCGACTTTATCGAAAGAACCAAAGAGTATGGATTCCTGAAGTCACGAAAGCTTCAAATCAAGATGATACCTCAGGTTCGCGAACAAAGTGCTGTCTACTGCCTGTATTGCGTGTGTGAGATAATGCGTTGCAGAATGTTGTACAGAATTCAAGAAAAAAAATTCCTTCGTTAAGTTTACACGTTAACATTGCATAGAATCTATAAATGTGATCCATGGGAACTCTTCTGATAACAAAAAGAACAATTGCTGTGCTGAGGGGAAAAAGTTCGAATTCAGGGTGAGTATGGTAGAATGTGCAATGTAAAATGGGCTGATAATGTTGCTGGATCATTGGGATGAATAGAAACAATGCTGGTTCAAGATTGGAGACACTTGGACGTTCATCTTCTTGGTTCTTTCGGTAAAGTCACGTAGAAAACATAATAAAATAATTCTCACGACGTGACTTTCCCGAAAGAACCAAGAAGATGAATCCCTGCAGTCACGAAAGCTTTAAAACACTTGGACGTTTTTTACTTCGTCAAAAAATGTGGGGAAAGTTTATGTTCAATGTAAAATGCCTCCTGCCTCTGTCTCTAGAGAAGAGCCACTGCCTAAAATACGATTTTCATTTTTTAAGCCAGTGTTAATGATGGTGGCAGCGATGTGTTTATAGTCTTTGTATTTTAAATACACTATTCTAATCTTGTGTATGGCGGCGTTCAGGAGTTAAATCCCAAAATCAAGGTCCGATAGCCACGAGAAGGCTTGAGAAGAGAGCTCGAGTAGTTTTGCTGTTCCTCCTCGTCCACTGAAGGAGCACAGACCAGTGGGTTTACTCTGTGGTCCATAGTTTGGGTTGCATGGCTACAAATGCACTACTGTGGCTTATATTTGATTTCACATTCATGAAGATGTGCACATCGGCCTGTTGATGTCCTGATGTGGTTGATGGTTCCACTACCAAGTGTCGTTCAGAAGGAATGTCAAAGCCAGGAGGTGCGATTATATTTGGGTCTCGAATGAGGTGCAGTCAGAACGTCTGCGTTGTTGCACCGTGTCAATCTGGGTGTGATTCTTGAATGGTAACAGCACGATCCCAGAAAGTCGATTGGACTTGAGTCTGCGGTGAGATACATTGTTGAGGTATAGGTTGATAAGGGAGAAGCTGTTGTCTTGTTGTTGTCAATGAAACGTGTATACTCCGTTTCAACAGGGGGCCAGTGTTGTGTTCTTTAATTGTACAGCTGGCAGTTTTGTGTACAATTTCCTGGACCAGGCTGGGACAAGGTACACTACCACTGAGTAGATCAGTAATCGGGTTGCAGTTGACGGATCATCAGCTGAGGCGTCCCAGGTCGTTGCTGGAAATTTCTACCAACACAATACACTGCATACACAGCATGCTGCCAACCCAGATCTACTGGTTGTATATTATAACGCGAAGTGTTTTTTTTTTTACTTATCCGTGAAGCTTCCCAGAAGGAGTAAGTATTAAGCTCCTGCTTTAAATACACAACAACCATGTTATATTTTGGTGCACATGTAGATGAATGTGTAGGACTATATTTTAGTGTGTAAAACTTAATTTTTAAAGTGTAATATACACAGATAACTCACTTATGTGTTTAAATATAACAATAAATATTATCGTTGCTTTTACGGGAGCTGACAAGTGACTGCTATGCCGGGATATATTTTGTCCATCTATTCGAGAACATTTTGTATGTTTTAGAAAACTAGAGCATCCCATAACACAGGGGTCGGCAACCAAAGTAAGAGTGTATTTTTTTTACAATTCGGTAAAAAAAACCTCAATATTTCCAGAGCCGCAATGCATGTGGTGAATACGAGACGGTGGTCGTTCTTAAATAACGTCACGAAGCAATCCTTAAAAGGGCCGCATGCGAATGCGGTGCTTTCAAAATCACAAACGCAAACTTAGCAATGCCAAGTCACACAGGAACGTACGCAAACGCCCACCAAAACAGTGATAATGAGACGATTGACCGACAGTGAGCAAGTGACTGGTTTATTTTATTTTATACCTACGTGACTTTACCAAAAAAAAACAAAGTAAGTGACTGGAGCTCATGAAATGTGTCTCTGGGCCGGATTTTGATGAGATCGGCGCGGTCCGCAAGCTAATCGTCGCGGACTACGAGCAGAGTGGCCAACTGCCAACAATCTTTTTTATACGTTTTCTCCTACAACATCAGAGTGCAGCGCCACATTAAATACGCACTACAATGACAATAGTTTAAAGCGATTTGAAGCATGCTTTATTTTTAAAATGGAAATGTGTTTTTTTTTGGGGGGGGGGGGGACAGAGCTTTGTGACGTCATATTTCAGGGGGGATCTGACTTTTTGTGACGCCGTGTGACGAGAGGGGGAGGGTCAAAAATCGGCCAAAATCGCGTGACGTCATTTATGGACGGCCCCTTAAACACGTCATTCCAAATCTCTAGGACCCAGGGCTGCTTGGCAGAATGCGATGCAGGCAGGATACGGGAATGATGAGGTGGGTGGGGGGTCATGAATGGAGAGAGGTCACGTGTGGGAGGCTCCCAGAGGCGACTAACAAAACGACGCACAACTTTCGCACGTCCGCACTCGACTTGTGACCAGCACAGCAGCGAGACGTCTCCTGCCTGCACTCCCATCAGCTTATGGCGCCCCCAAACAACCACAGCATGCGGTGCCCCCAACAGACTGGGCAAGTAAATCCTTAAGATTGTGCGTTGGGCCTTCATCCAGCAGTGGATTTAAGCACAAAAAAAACTCGAGTACTAATGTAATGGACAGAGCACGGCTCTCCCTCAGGGCAGCAGTGGGGAGCATGGGGTCCCTCAGGGCAGCAGTGGACGGAGCACGGCTCTGCCTCACTCTCACTCAGCCGTCTCCTCACTACCACTCAGCCGTCTCCTCACTACCACTCAGCCGGCTGCTTGCTCGCGGTCACGTGACGCACTTCAACCAATCCGTGCCGCGTTAATCACAGTCACAGAATGTCTGAGCTTTGTGTTTATATATTAGTATACAGACTGAGCTACACTCACGCAGTGCTTTTGTACGGTCACTTTACTCGCCTCATAATTCTTAACCAACTAGTTGCAAATATGCTCATGTAAATAAGGAAAGTGGCAAGTATATTTATAATTGCCTATTAGTTTGCCAGTGTATGACTCTTGACTCTGAAAATTAAATATACATCTAATTGCCAGGCCACTGTTCTTCATTTTTTTATGATAACGTGTAAATACTTGCAATGCACATGCTCAATAATCACGAACATGTACTTGAGGTTCGGGTGCAAAGTTCTGTCTGCTACCTGTATTACCTGTGTGTTAGATAATGCATTGTTAAATGTTGTACTAAGTTGACGTCAAATGACCTTGGTAAGTTTACAGATTACCATTGCAAAGAAGCTGTAAATGGGAACGCCTCTGATAACAAAAAGAACAATGATGTGTTCTAGTAAAAATAAGTTCAAATTCAGGGCAATGATAATGGTAAAATGTAAAATGGAGATGATAATAATGTTGTTAAATCATGATCAGTAATAGCCATAAACTACTCTGATTTAAGCTTGGAGACACTTCTGACGTGTTTCACTTGGTCGGAAAATGTGGGGTAAGTTTATGTTCAATGTCAAATGCTTCTTGCCTGTCTCTAGAGAAGAGCCACTGCCTAAAATGCTATTTTCCTGTTTTAAGGCAGTGTTGATGATGGTGGATGCGATGTGTCTGTAGTCTTTTATTTTAATCTAATCTTGTGTATGGCAGTGTCGAGGAGCTAAATGCCAAAATCACGGTCTGCGAGCCACGAGAGGGCTTCAGCAGAGAGTTCGTGAAGTGTTGCTGTTCCTCCTCCTCCTCCGCTGAAGGAGCGCAGATCACAGTGGGTTTACTCTGTGGTCCATAGTTCGGGTTGCATGGCCACAATCGCACTATTGTGACTTATCTTTGATTTTTAATTCATGAAGATGTGCGCATCGGCCTGTTGATGGTTCCACCATCAGTGTCATTGAGGAGGAATGTCAAAGCCAGGAGGTGCGACGATCAGTGCCGGATTATCCTAATAGCAAAAGTAGCTACATATGCTACGGGCCCCGCACTTTCAAGGGCCCCGTGCTAAATGCTTTCAAGCTATCAATTCATGGTCAGCGATTCTGCACTTGCTCTATTACGATAGTACTATACTGCCTTCAACTTTTATGAACGACTGGGTGTTTAAGGTTAACGATTTGTATTATCTGGCTGTATAGCAAATGAAAAGATACAATTACTTTACTATGCAAGTTTAAAAATGTGTGTGTTTTAATGCTTGTTTGTTTATTTATTTAGGGCCCCTCTATAGCATATGCTACAGGCCCCACACTCGATTAATCCGGCACTGGCGATGATATTTGGGTCTCGAATGAAGTGTAGTCATGACATCTGCGTTGCTGCACCATGTTAACCGGCGCTCTTTTGGATCTGGGTGCGATTCTTGGATGGTAACAGCACGATCCCAGAAAGGAGATTGGGACTGGAGTCGGCGGTGAGATACGTTGTTGAGGTCTTGGTTGATTATGGGGAGGTTGTCGTCTTGTCGTTGGCAAGGACGCATGGATACTCCCTTGCGGATATGTTCGCCAAAACAGGGAGCCAGTGTTGTGTTGTTTAAATGTGTGGAGGTGCTAGACACTCTACTCGTGAACCTGCGGGGCCACTATGTAATCAGAGGGGCAATGCAGCGTTACCGCTCTGGGACCAACGGCCGGGGTCAGGGAGAGGTGAGCGCGGATCGTAAACACGGATTCCCACCAGACCAACGGCCAGGGGTCAGACGAGGTAAAAGAGAAACGAAACGACGGATTGTAAAGAACCAATCAGAGGGTCCCACGAGGGAGCGTGCGATTGGATAAAGACCGTTACACACGGGTATAAAAGGGCGACGCGCGGGGAGCGCGCGCCAGTTCTCCTCACACGAAGACAAGCCCGGCTGAAGAAGCTTGGACCCTGGACCAAGCCTCCCAGCTCTTCTAAGAGCTAAGGCTCAATGTTCCAGTGGTCAAGGGGAGACTAGGGTCCTGGCAGGCAGGACCCTGGCTTCCCAGCCTTCCAGCTCTTCTAAGAGCTAAGGCTCAGTGTTCCAGCGGTCAAGGGGAGACTAGGTCCTGGCAGGCAGGACCCTGGCTCCCCAGCCTTCCAGCTCCTCTAAGAGCTAAGGCTCAGTGTTCCAGCGGTCAAGGGGAGACTAGGTCCTGGCAGGCGGGACCCTGGCTCCCCAGCCTTCCAGCTCTTGTAAGAGCTAAGGCTCAGTGTTCCAGCGGTCAAGGGGAGACTAGGGTCCTGGCAGGCTGGACCCTGGCTCCCCAGCCTTCCAGCTCTTCTAAGAGCTAAGACTCAGTGTTCCAGTGGTCAAGGGGAGACTAGGGTCCTGGCAGGCCGGTCCCTGGCTCCCCAGCCTTCCAGCTCTTCTAAGAGCTAAGGCTCAGTGTTCCAGCGGTCAAGGGGAGACTAGGTCCTGGCAGGCGGGACCCTGGCTCCCCAGCCTTCCAGCTCTTGTAAGAGCTAAGGCTCAGTGTTCCAGCGGTCAAGGGGAGACTAGGGTCCTGGTAGGCTGGACCCTGGCTCCCCAGCCTTCCAGCTCTTCTAAGAGCTAAGACTCAGTGTTCCAGTGGTCAAGGGGAGACTAGGGTCCTGGCAGGCTGGTCCCTGGCTCCCCAGCCTTCCAGCTCTTCTAAGAGCTAAGGCTCTGCGCGACCAGTGGTCAGGGGACCCACCGAGCCAGCGGTGGGTCAAGCTAGCCTCCCCTAGGTCCCAGACGGAGGACGCTAGGGTAGCGGGTAGAATGAGAATAGCTCCCGCCAGTTCGGAGGCTGTACCTCCCTAGGCTAGCAGCCAGACCCGTGTAAAGGTCCCGCCAGGTACGGAGGCTGTACCTCCTTAGGCTACGGGTGAGGGAACCATATATCCCTCCGTATGTGTAGGGACTGTGTCGAAAGAAAGACAATAAACCAGTGTGTGCCTTAAAAGGAGTTTATTCATCTGTTATTTACAAGACTATAAATGTACAGCTGGCAGTATTTTGTACGAGCTCCTGGACCAGGCTGGGACACGTTGTACGCACTCTCTCAGAGGCTCTTTGCCCCCCATTATAATAAGCGTGAAGTTCAAACCGAGGCTTGAAAGATAAGATTTGTGCTTTAACTCAGTCCCCACAGATGGCAAAGTTGCAGTACCAACATCACTAATACAAATTAAATACCGTGCAAAAACACGATGTACTTGAAAAAACACGATGTACTTGAATAAACATCACCCGTGCATTTACACTCAGTCGGTCATAAATTCTGAAAACAAATATGACGAGTTTAAAAGTGACAGTCATTCTTATAATTGCACACGTATTTGTAACGAGCAGTTCACTCTCAAGAGAGAATGGTTCACAGATAGGGTAAACCACGGTCGGGACGGATGCCAATAACGGTTGCTTTTGGCTCGTCATTGAACCAAGACGGTCACTGCATTGCGCGTTTCCTTCCGATATCAGAAAGCCACTGAGCTACGCACCCATAAATCTAAATTGAAAACTCATTTATTGAGAACTGCTTTGTGTTTAGTTTTTTGTCTTTACCCAGCACCTCCAATTAGCACGGCTGACTACGTGCGGTGCGAAAGAAGTTCAACATACGGCACGTACATCAGTGGCTGTATATTGGGATGTTTGGCCAACTTCATTAAATGGTAGGAAAGTGAAGTATCTGGAGAAAACGAGATGCGTGCGAAGGGGGTAACACTCAATCCCCGTACACATGGAATACAGGTGGAAATGAATCCTACTTGCTGTACTACCGTCGTACCCTGGTGATCCAGGAAATTATTACCTTGACCCCCATGAGCAGAAGGGCAGACTCACGCAATGTGGTTCTGATCCACCAACCCTCGCCTCCAGTGCTGGATGACAGGCCCCACGTACAGCCGAGGGGCCGTCCATAAATGACGTCACGCGATTTTGGACGATTTGACCCCCCCCCCCCCCTTTCGTCACACGGTGTCACAAAAAGTCAGACCCCCCTCAAATATGACATCACAAAGCTCTGCCCCCCCCCCCCCCCCCAAAAAATAAAACATGCTTCAAATCGCTTTAAACTATTGTCAATGTGGCGCTGCATTCTGGTGTTGTAGGAGAAAATATTTATTAAAAAGTCTATTTCATTAAGTAGAACGTGTTGTCTATATGTATTTAAAGTTGCACATTTTTACGTGACCTCACATTTCTCAACCCCCCCCCCCCCCCATTGTCACACATCGTCACAAATGTCTGACCCCCCCCCCCGCCCCAGGTGCGTGACGTCATTTATGGACGGCCCCTTAGGTTCCAACAGTTTCGCAGAACATTGCAAATTATATGCGGTATTTTAGTGCAAGGCTTTTGTGTCTGAATTGGCTGTCCATAAATGTGCAGATACAAATTACAACCTGATGTTGCGTCGAGCCTAAACAGATGCACACTAAATAGCTTCTAATCAAGAGTAAATCGCTGTTGGCCGCATTTTAACCTCTTCCATTCCAATGCCACATAGTGCGAGTGATAACGAGGTGCCTCTGCTGAAGGGAATGAGCAAAGTGTTGCACACTTTTGGCATCCTGTACAGCCTACTTGGAATCCTATATAGTCTAGATACATATGTGCATCGTCTTTTGAATCTAACCCCTGGATGAGGGCCTCCCTATGCTGCATGGGTCAGGGCTATTTGGCCATACTTCACCACGCTGGTCAGTGCTGGTTGGTGAAGACGTGGCAGCCTAGAATATAGCAAGGACGCGAAACGTTTTAATGTTAGGTTAGTAACGTTAATTCTGTGCTCTCCTGTTGCCCGAGTGAAATGTGGACCAGGTTTTGCCCCATTCCTGGCCTGCATCGATTTGCGCGGTTGCCTACGTACGGTGCGAAAGAAGTTCAACATACATACAGCTGGCTCAAACTTAATCATTTAAATGCAAAAAAACCCAGGCTGCTGTTAACGCGAGAGCGCGCCAATGACTCTGCCGTGGAAACATGGAACGGGGGGGGGGGGGGGCGTCTTATTGGCCCTGCTGAGAGAAGATAGCTCAACGAACGTTGCTGCATTATCCACAACTAGATTGGACAGTCGCAGCACTTTCTGTTCTAACATCAGCAATTCTCTCTGTATGCCTCGTTTTACAAATGTGTTCACTTCAAGTTTTTGTTTTCATATTACAGACAATGGAAGAGAATGATAACAAAGGGAATTGCCAGCTTCATGAATACAAAGGCGTTTCCTTCCCTACCAAAATACACACACCAGAAAGCTTGCAGTACATGGAAGATTTTGACGTGCGTGACGATGACGTCTTTGTGGCGGCTTATCCCAAATCAGGTAAGTATTTAATTTTCTTCCTAAACAAAAATGGCAACACTGCGGATTGGACTCATATTTGCAAAGGTGGCAAGTTGACTTGGCCCATCATCTCTCCGGGGTCCATAAAATGTGTCCAGCAGTGGTTGTCCCACACTCGAAAAAGCCCCTGCCATAAAAACTGGATTTTGCTTAAACTAATGGAGCCTCTCAATTCATTTCCAGTCTCCTCATCCATACATAGCCCTGGGCGTGGATGCGCATTGCTGGGCACAAAACACATGTTTGTGGCTCCTGGAACAATCCACCATAACGGTCCCACCGCAATATTGTTGGCATTCCCTACACCCTACACACTGATGCCAATCCCTGAACCCAGCTGACCGCGAGTAACCCCGAGGTATCGAGAGAGGGAATTGGTGGCAAAAAATTACGAGGCATGGTTCGAGGTGTGAAAATAGGGTATTAGTGGCTGGGAAGGAGGAAACGGGAATGTAGGCGGGGAATGGGAAAGGGGGCCGTGGAGATAGGAGGGTTCGTCGGCGGGAGTGACGAGAGGAGAAAGCTGTGGATGGAGAGATAACTGCAGATAAAGGAGGGAGCTGTGTGTGATGGAGGTGGAATTAAAGGACTTGAACCCTTACCCGTCTCCGCATGTTGGTGGGGAGATTACCCACTACACTCCCATGCTAGAGGCTGCCAGGTATATTTTTGGAGAGTTGAAAGGTATCAGTCAGTTTGAAATCCTGAAGCAGCCCGTTCAGCTTCCTGGTGGAGGGGTCTAGTTTCCTGCTTCCGGATGCCTGCATGACATCTGCCAGGCAGAGCGGGCAATTAAAATCCCCGCCCAAGATAACGTGCCTCCACGTCACCAACAGGGCCGCCACGTTATCCAACAGTTCCTCCCGCTCAGTGTACCGTGAAGGGGCGTATGTTAATCAAGCGGAGTTCCGTGCCATCGTATGAAACGTCAACGTAGTAGAGTTGGCCGGGGACCACATCTTAGGTCTCCAGTATCTCCACCTTTCAGCTGTCTAGGAGTATGACGACACCGGTGTTCTCATTAGTGTTACTCCCTGACCAAAAGTAATGGCCGTCCCAGGGCTCTATCAATTCCCTCCGGCCGAGGAAATACGGCAGGTGGCATTCTTGCAGGAATATTGTCCTTTTTCATGGTTTGCAAGTACTGTATTACTGCCGTTCGTCTGGCCCTGCCCCAGATCCCTCTCACGTTTATCGATGCCGCCGTAAGTTCCATGCCCTGAGGCGTCTAACCTGAATCCGACACCTCCTCCAGTACTTGGTAACAGTTTTTTCCCCCTAGGTCAGACAATTGTCCCATGTCCCCCAACGTCGGAGAGGTTCCTCTTCCTTGTCCCACCTATGCCGCCGCCACGTCCTCCTCAGATGTCATCGTGTCCGGCGAAGAGCCAGCCGGTTCCAGACCACGCGTGGGAGTAGATCTCCTTGCTGGCCTCGGCGCCCTCTGCTTTCTTTTCATCACCTCTCTGAAGTCCCACTCCCATCCTCCATTCCCCGCCGCTACTTCCCGTCCTCCCTTGCCTCTACCTCCTCCACCCAGTGGGCCACGGTAGGTCCAGGGGCCTTCTCCACCTCCTCATTGTCTCCGTGGCCTTCCGGCTGCTGGCTCGTGGGTGTTATCTCTTCCTCTGTTGACATTTCTCCCTCCTCCCTCTCATCCTGCACTGGCATTTCTTCCCCGACCACCACTCCGCCATCGCCATCCGTCGCCCAGCTGGTCAGTGCTTGTTGTGGCTCTCTCCCAGTCACCTCTCCCTCGCCGCCCTCCACCTCCCGGACCGTGTGCGCTCGGACCATGCTCGCGTAGGACTCTGGGCAGTCTCTATATAAATTATACCCACTGCCACAAAGGTTGCACTTTGCCGGGGCACTGCAGTCCTCCATGACATGGTCCTGCGCCTTGCAGCAATAACACACCCGTGCTTCGCATGCCACGGCCAGGTGTCGTCTGCACCCACATCTCCTACAGAGCTTGGGCTGCCCAGCATAGACCAGATAGCCTCTACTGCCCCTGATATTCAAGGCATTTGGGATGTGCTGCAGGACCCCTTCCACCATTCTTAACCTTACTCGCCACTGTCTGGTGCCCATCCAAATACCCAGCGAGTCCTGGAGCCGCTTGCACCCCAACAGCAGTAGGCAATGTTGTCGCAGCCAGACTTCCACATCGTGGTCCGGCAGAGCCTCATTGTACAAAAATACCGTTATCTTAGTGTCTAGTTCAGATAAAAGTTGTAACTTGAATAAAGACAGTGGCCTCTCTCCAGCCTTTTCTTTAAATCTCGTCATGAAGCCTTGTAGCAGGCTGCTCATCCTAAAACTGATAAAGACCCAGCCGCCGGGTAAGGCTATCAGACAGAACAGGTCCTTAGGGTCCACCTGTAATATCCCGACCACCACAGTCCTCACAAAACTCACGCGGTCGATGGTGACATCGTCCGACACATCTTCTTGGAATGCCATCCGGACACAAAAGTGTATCTTGGCGTGGATTGGTGCGAAATTCACACCGGTTCTACCATGCCACCGCCCTGCGGGTACCTGGGGTCTTCCTGCGCCCACAGATCTGGGCTTCCCCTTATCAGTCACGCTCTGGGTGCTATGCGCCTGCTGGCCTGCAAGGTCCGCCTTCTCCTTTGCCTCCCCACTCAGGCTGGCGGGGGCCACCTCCCTCTGCACTGGTACCTCTGCTCTCCTTGTCCATTGCCTCCAGGCATCCTTCCAATCCCGCCTCCTCCCGGCTGAGGTTGACGCTTTTGCTGCATCGCCCTACTGCACCAACCTCTGTCCTCCAGGTTGAAGAGTTGCGACCGTTTCCGCCTCAGCAGTCGTCGACGGGGGTCAGTCGTCCTTGCTCACATCGGCAGCCTGGCTGATCTCCATGCCTGTTGAAAGAAGTGGCAAGGTAGCCACTGGCTTGACAGCCAGGGTGCCTGCTCGGGGCAAGGGATAAAATCTGATCACGGCAATGAGGCTATTTAAAATGTATTAATTTTTCAGACAAAAAAGCAAGATCTTAAACCACAGCCCGCGCGGGGGCTCTTAACGCATCGCTAGAGGAACAAAAACAACTTTACCACAGAGCCGCGCATCCATTACACCAGTTCGAGAAAAAAGCAGGAAAGGAACGAACGAAATGGTAAGTTGTCACCACACCATTTTGGGATAGCATCAGGATACAATCGCGGCCGCCGTAACACACACTCATACGTCCCTTCTCCGAGTCAGAGGGCCTCCCCAGGCTCAGTCTCATTCGGTTCCGCACACGTAGGACAGAGGTCGCAAATGGGTTTTGATTCCTTACCCGCACCCGGCCGCACCAGGGTCGCAAACGGGTACCCGTACCCAGCCGTACCCGTACCGTACCCATACCCGGCCGAGTACGGGTAGGGTACGGGTATCGGGTACCTGATTGCGACCTCTGGGATGAAGCCATGTTGCAGGCGCGGGTGGGTTGATTCTAGGAACTTGAATTGTGAGAAGAGACAAGACGTTGGGAAATGAGTGACAAACGGTGACTCACCAGTGACTCATGGCCTACCCGTACCCGTACCCGGCCGCACCAGGGTCGCAAACGGGTACCCGTACCTGGCCGGGTACGGGTAGCCGGGTATCGGGTACCCGGTTGCGACCTCTGACGTAGGGGTAAAGGCCACTGCCACTTCTCGTTCGCTATTTGGTTACCCATTCTTACCCGTTTCATCTCCACCACTTTTTATATTGGACATCTGGCTAAGTAGCATACCTCTAGCGGTGACATACGAGTGCATTTCCTCTCTCGCCCGCGTGCTCTTCAGAGGGCCTCCTTAAATTGCTCCAATAATGGCCCATGTCTGGGCCCAGTTCCCTCTCGCCTTCCGCCTGAACAGCCCCCAAACCACATTCGGCACCGTTGCTTTAACCGAACAAAAGCGAGACAGAGCGGCCCACTCAACTCCCACACCTCCTGCGCGAATGGGCACTGTACGAGGACGTGCACAGAGCTCTCATTCGCACATTTGGGGGTTATGCCCATACGACGGGAGAACATAAATCGTCTACATTACAATCTGTCCCAGGCGGCCAGCCAGGACAGGTCACGCTGTTCTCTCGTCAAGGCATTTAATAGAATGTTTCCCCAAACCTGGCGGTGCACATTCCCCCGCACACCTGGCACTGCTGTGCAAGTCTCCTTTCTGTCAATCTCGGCCTGCACGTCCTTCGGGCACCACATCTCCCGTTTCCGGGCCAGCCCATCCTCTGTAATATAATTGTCAATCACCCCATTCAACCACCCCTGCGGCCAGGCAAGGGGCACGCCCCTAGTCAATGAGGCCATCCCCAGCCTCCGCAGGAGCCACGTCAGTCTATATTGCAGGAAGCATGAGGCCTTTCCCTGGGGCTGCACATGAAGACCGTAATGAGGGCACGTTTGACGTGTGGGGTGCCTCTCCCACCATTCGCCTTACTCTTACATATAATGGTCCTCCTCACACGGTCCATCTCCCCCCCCCCCCCACCCCCCAGATGAACTTGAAAATAACTTTTCCAGCCTTTTCACTACCTGCTCATTTGGCAGGAACACATAGGCCAGGCAATTCAAAACCGGCATGACTTCCACCTTTAAAACTTAAATCCTTCCCTCTATCGTGAGGCGCCTGTCTGCCCATTTGGCCAGCCTGCCCTCTACCGCCCTCACCTTCACAGCCCAGTTCCGATCTACCGAACCCTCTTGGCAAAAGACGACCCTCAGGATTCGAATCTCGTCGTCCAGTAGCTTTATCCCTGGTGGGCGGCCCTCGAAAAGCATGGGGTCCTCAAAAGCCATCAGCTCGATTTTTTTTACATTCACTCTGGATCCTGAGGCCCGATGGAAGAGATTTATAAGTTCCACCATATGAAACATCGACGTAGTGGAGACGACCTGGGACTACCTCTTGGGTCTCCAGCACCTTCGGCTGCCTAAGAGTATAACGACACCCGTGTTTTTATTCGTCCTACTCACTGACCAGAAATAGCGCCCGTCCCAATGCTCTATTAATTCCTCCCGGCCGAGGGAATAAGGCAGGTGGCACTCCTGTAGGAATATTACATCCTTTTCAAAGTTCGCAAGTAATGTATTATCACAGTCCACCTAGCCCTGCCACAGATCCCTCTCACATTAACCGAAGCCACCGTGAGTTCCATGCCCTGTGGTGTCAATCTGCTTCCGATACCTCCTCCAATTCCTGGTAGCAGGTCTTATCTCTTAAGTTAAGCACTTGCCCCACGTTCCCCAACTTCAGGGGGGAGGCTTACCCCCTTGGCCCACTTTAGCCGCCACCACCTCCTCCGACGTCATCGTGTCTGGTGAAAGGCCAGCTGTTTCCGGACCACGTGTGGGGGTAGCTCTCGTCGGGGGCCTTGGTGCTCTCCTCTTTCTCTTTTCCACCCTCTCCAGGATTTCACTCTCCTCCCCCCGTCCCCTGCTGCTCCTTCTCATCCCCCTTCTCCTCCACCACCTCAGCCCAGTCAGCCACGGTTGGCCTGAGGGCCTCCTCCACCTCCATGTCTTCTCCGCGGTCCCCCGGCTGCTGACTCGTGGGTGATTTTTCTTCCGCTGTCATTTCTCCCTCCTCCTCATCCCGCAATGGTGTGCTCTCCCAGGCTGTCCCTCCGCCACTGCCATCCGTCACCCTGCCGGATGGCGTCTGTTGTGGCTCAGCCTCAGCCTCCCCCCCTCTCGCCCCCCTCCATTTCCCGATCCCTGTGTGCCTGTACCATATTAGCATAAGGGACTGGGCAATCTCTATACAAATGTTCCCCGCTACCACACAGGTTGCACCGCGCCAGGGCGTTAGTCCTTTACAACAGGATCCTGCGCCCTGCAACGATAGCACACCCGTGCTGTGGACGCTGTTGCCGCTGTGGCCACGTGTCCTCTGCATCCACACCTCCTGCAGAGGTTAGGCTGCCCCCCATAGACAACGTAGCCTCTGCTACCCCCGATGTTCAGGGCGTTCGGGATGTGTCGCAGGGACCCTTCCACCGACCATAGTGTTACCCGCCACTGCCTGGCGCCCATCCAGATGCCCAGCGAGTCCTGGAGCCGTCTGCACCCTGACAGCAGCAAACAGTGTTGGCACAGCCAAACCTCCACGTCGTGGTCCGGCAGCGCCTCATTGTAAATAAACACCGTTATTATCTTAATATCCAAATCAGATATCAACTGCACCTTAAACAAGGATTGGCCTTTCACCACTCTTCTCTTCAAACCTTGTCATAAAGCCTTGAAGCAGGTTGCTTGTCCTGAAACTAATATCAAACGCTCGCCCACCAGGCAGGGCAATCAGGCAAAACAGGTCTGCAGGGTCCACATTTAACACCCCGACCACCAATGTCCTCACTAAGCTCGGTCGATCAATGGTGACGTCATCTGGCACATCGTCTTTGAAAACCATCCAGGCACAATCTCTTGGCATGGCCTGGTGTGAAGTTCACACCAGTCCCACCGCGCCACCTCCCTGCAGGTGCCTGGGACCGTCCTGTGCCCACAGGTCCAGGCTCTCCCCCCTTAGGCACCTTCTGGGCGTTACGCGCCTGCTGGCCTGCAGGGATCACCCTCTCCTCAGTCTCTCCACTCGGGGTGGTGGGGCCACCACCCTCAGCGTTGGTGACTCTCCTTTCCTCGCCTGCTGCCACCAGGCGTCCTCCTCAGCTCGCATCCTCCCGGTCGAGGTCAATGCCAGCGCCTCGTCACTCTCCTCCGCCAGCCTCCATCCTCCAGGCCTCCGCATCTCACCACCCTCCGCCTCTGCAGCAGTGAAACCGGCCTGTTCACCTTGGCTCACCTCGCCAGAGCGCTTGGTTTACATGCTCCCGGGGATTAGCGAGGCCGCCCCTGGCCTGACAGCCAGGGTTGCCTGCTTGGGGCAAGGGAGACCAAACCAATCACAGCGACGAGGCACGGCGAGGTCCACTCCAGATCGCAGGAGCCCCGACTGTGTGTCGGAGCTCGCTTTACTGTATATCCTGCCCAGTGTGGCCAGGCTCCGCCCTCGGCCCCGCACCCCTCTGGATCCCCCAGAGGGCTCCGTGCCGTGCCCACAGGTGCAACTGGTAGAATGGGCTGTTACCCCTTATTCTATTGTCTACAAATCTTCTAGCGGAACGCGCTCATTCAATGTCACTGCATATGTATGATGGAGTGGTCTCTCGATAAGTATACTGATGTTGATTTCCTAAAAATTGTTGCTCAATATAACACATTCCTGGGGGGGGAGCTGGTAGGAACGTTGAGTTGCTCGGTCAATGGCCAGGGTCAACGGCGGCGTGGTGTATTCCGCAAATATAGCCGACTGTGAGGGCGGGCACAAGCCGGCGTGAGTAGATTAAACGTTGAGTTTTATAAGGGCACCACGGGGTGACCAGCCCCTCCCCACCCAGCCCCACCCCTCCCACCGCCCACCCAGCCCCACCCTCCCCACCCAGCCCCTCCCCACCATCCCCTATCCACCCAGCCCGACCCCTCCCATTTTTTGATGCACGACGGACGGACACAATAATCCCCTGTGGGCTGGTGGAACCAGGTGGTTCCTACCAGTATCAATCCCAAAGCAATGATAGTAGTGGCATTCATGCAAATAGAATCTCAAAACGCTGTAAATGTTTTAAGGCACGGATTTCTTTTGCACGGAAGCTCAGGAAACCACTGCCAAAATGTGAAGGCAACTGGAAGTGGTGCTTATTGCCCAAGCTCTGTGGGACTATATTGGTTATTTTTGGCCAACGACGTGATAAACGCATCACACACATTACAATATAACATTCACATTGCCATCATATTTGAGCAGAATAAGTTGGCCTCGTTTGTTGTGTCACGAACGCGTGTCACTCATGCGGCCACAAAAGGCACCACATGGATGCAGGAGATAACGACGCTGATTCTGAGCGGAGGAGATTTAACTCCGGTGAACACCATACCCAACTGGAAAAGGGTGCCTTGGGTGGAGAACATCAGTGGAAAAGGATTTCTTGAAAACTGCCCCTCTCCACGCCTGATCTCGACCCACGCACCATACTCCATAGCACCAAAGAAGCTCAAAGAGGGCAAGGGAAAGGTCAGAACTTATACGCAACACCACCACAATTTTGTTTGCATCACTTTTAAAAATTCGAGATATCCAATAGCAGGCACGTCAATGCAAACCATACACACAAAGCCAGAGGGTGGGTCAAGTCCTGTTAACAATAAACAAGACACACGAGTAATCAGATTGCTTTATATTTCATGCATGTTATGGTCATCCATAAAAACATCTCCCTTGCTAAATAATCCAATCTCAGAGGTTCTTATATGGTTATAACATTGATTAAATTGATTAATCCGCTTGAAATGTGTACGGCAATTAATACCCACTTATTTGTGTCTGTATTTTAGGCCATCTATATTACTCGAAACCCTAAGGATATTATGGTGTCACTTCTTCACTTTTCAAAGTTTGTACGGTTTTTTGCCGATATCGGAACTCTTGAAGAATGTTTCCGAAATTTTGTCAGCAATAAAGGTTAGTTGCACTCAACTCTATCAGAATAAATTAATATACAGGCAGACCTCGCTTAGCACTCAAGGTGCTTCCCTGGAGAAATGAGCACTTATCGAATCAGCGCTGAAATGGATCATTATATCGTTGCATATATATGGATGCTTTCTAAAGTATGAGCAAAATATGAGGCCTTCATTGGAGTATCGGTAACAGCGCTAATAATACAGATGGTGAACATGTTTTTTTCCTATTTTATTATATCAATATAATGTACGGTACTCACCAGTGCATCAACCTGACGCTCACCCGACTCGACCCGCCTCATCACTTGCATTTTAACATCCAAAGTGATACTTTTCATTGACACCTTTGGTCACATTTGCAGCACTAACACTTGCAGGCCTATTTACAGACATTGTAGGGTCTAAAATGCCCATCCAAAACACACGAAAATAAGGCAGAGCCCATGGCTGAGTAAACACATTGGAGAGTGCTGCGTGGCTCATAGCGTACTGAAATAACATTAAATAACAAACAATTGCAATAACATTTGGGAAAAAAATTGTTATAAAATGTATTCGTGACCACGAATCGTTTGCTGAGCATGGAACAAAGATGGCGGCGGGTGCATGTTCTCACCCATAAGCGATTTTTGGATTTTCTTATTTTTGTAAAAATGTCTCCCAAACAAAGAGCGCTATAACGAATCAGCATTCCACGGGGTCATGCTTAACGAGGTCTGCATGTACATATAACTATACGAAGAATGTGAAATCATTTTGTTGCATGTTTGAAATTAAGATATGAGGGGCTCCAGATTGATCATGGCACTTGTTTTGCACATCTGTAATATGCACACAATGCCTTAAAATAAGGCAGTTACCACATATTTTAATAAAACATGTGGTAATCATGAGGGTTCCTTAAAGGGCATGTCTTAGCACGGGGAAATTCTGCACAGCTCTTTTTAAATCCTTTATATTAAGTTCGCTTGCTTGCTTGCGTGCTTGCGTGCTTGCTTGCTTGCTTACGACCGTGCAAATCTTTCGGTCGTTTTTTAACCCACTTCCCGTGATCCAATCGAGCTGACATTTTGCATACAGACTCGTTGTGCGAGACAATTAATGTTTGTGAAATTTTTTTTCCAAAATTTTACACTGTTTAAGGAAAACAAATTAAATATTTAATTACCAATTGCTTAATACTGGCAGACAATCATCTGACCCATAGGTGGCAGCCATCTCAAGCCAGAGGACGAGAGGACTCTAGCCGCCACGCATATAAAGGATTTATAGTGAAAAAATTTGTTTTTACGGGTTATACTTATTTGTATTCGGGTTTTTTGGTGGTTTGTTGATGGGCGATTGACTTTGATGTAAATGCGTACTTCATGTACGTAAACTGATGACATCTCATCGTCTGATGTCTTTCCTTTTGTGTTTCTGCAGCTCAGTTGCACGGGGGGTCGTGGTTCACCCACGTACGGGGATGGCACGAACACAAGGACGACCCCAACATCTTCATCATCTCGTTTGAAGACATGGTTAAGGTTAGTGTCGTCAACTGCAAAGCATGTGATATGTCGTACACACTTAAGTGTATGTTATCATGTGCAGTGTGTCAAGGCAAAGATCAAAGTGTATCCCTGCTCAATGGAGCAGCAGCACAGTGCGTATCTCGATTGGCAGTCGTAAGTTGTATGTAGCGTTTTCTCATTTCTATGCTGGAGGCAGACTATCCCCAGACTGACCACTGTTGACTGTCTTCAAAAGGGCACTAATTTAATCCACTGTGGAGAGATGATGGACCAAATCAGCTCCTGACCAGAATGTAAATAGACAACAACAACCAATAGGACCAAATCAGCTCCTGACCAGAATGTAAATAGACAACAACAACCAATAGGCCTATCCATAGCCCTAACTGCAACCCTATCCAACAATAAAAATAATAAAAGTTCAGAAACGATGAGTAGTGACTCTGCATTGCGTTCTGACATCTGGAGAAGTGGGCGACTCCAAAACAGCCGAGCACCAGGGGTTTGTGAAATGGCAAAACTTCATTTAAGATAAGAAACACCCTCCGCCACACAACACCGCTTCTAAAGCTATCTCTTAATGGCATTAGCACCAGTGTTAATATTGTAGACACCGTTATAAATATTGTAAATCTTTATATTTTGACTTAAAACTTTCATGACTGCAGGAATTCATATTCTTTGTTTTTTCGGTAAAGTCACGTAGATGGAAAAATAAAAATAAAGTTAATTATATGTTTTACTTTTATTACTTTTAATTACTTTTTTTTTATTTTTCCATTTACGCGACTACCGAAAGAACCAAAGAATATGTACATATTTAAATCAATTCTAATATCAAAGTCTTAATTGTGCATATCTTCATAACCACCAATAAATCTATCGACACCCAATTAACATTACTGTGTTCCTTTCAGTCGATTGACATTCAATAAATATCAGTTTAACAGCTTTACATTTATAATAGATGTTTTTGGGGTTAGATCGCATAATATATAAATGTGTCGTTAAAACCCGGCAGCACCCGACACAGCCAACTCGTAAGGGGTGCCACGTAAACAGAACGTGGCCAATTCGTCACTCGTACAGCACACCGGTGTGTTAGAGAGAAAAGCCACAACATTTACAATCTGAGTACGACGTTTCGCCAGTAATTACAACTAGCTTCATCAGGCAACAGCCAGATTTGTGGAGATGTCTAACTTTTTCGTTCCTTATATAGAGGCGTATATGTGGTGACCACGCTTCTGCGCTGTTGCGCCAAGTGAGTGGGGGGGATTAATGAGTCAACGTACATTATGCATGTGTATTATGCGAGCCCTTTGATCTTGTCCTTCCTGTCCATTGCGTGTATTAAAATGGCCGTACCAACTGTAATCCCTATTGAAGTATGCTGCCCTTTATAGGCATGCATTTAAATAATGTAATGTACTAGTTGGCTGTGTCGGGTGGTGGTGGGTTTCAACGACACATTTATATATTGACGCGATCTAACCCAAAAAACCTCTATTATGGATGATATTGGTCGCTAAAGCCTACGTGTCAAACAGCTGTACATTATTTGTTGGAGCTAATTTAATATGCAGCTTACATGCGAGCACCAAGCCCCAAATCTAAATTGGGGGTGTGCCTCCTACTCCCCTGGGGTCCAGTCCTTGATCACCTTTTGTATTAAAGCATTTTTTTTAAACGCGCCTGGCTACTTGGAGCTATGGATAATTATTCCTTAGGCTCCCATATGCAACAGTGCATGCACAATTAAGGTGTGATTAATCACAGGCGCCTTTACACAATGGCTACATGAGCCAGATCCTCCAACCACAGCCATACTAGAAATACGCCTCACCTCGGATTTGAAGTTTACAATAATGGAAACCAGATAGTTTGTGAAAAAAATCTGTTCCACTGATAAAAAAAAAACATTTTTTGTGGGAATCTTGGACAGACATGTGGAATTTGCACCGCTGGCTCATGGTCACCTAAGCCAGTGGCAGCATTCCACACTCGTTTGAGTTGTGGTGGGTTTGAAGGTTGACGTTGCTAATCGAATGACTGCGTCGGGGTGGCGTGGAGCACCTGTGTAGGATCTACGCGGGAGCGTGAAGCGAATTGCAGATTTCATGGAGCGCCCACTCAGCGAGTCAGCCCTGGACACCATCGCAGAGCACTGCACTTTCTCCAGCATGAAGAAGAACCCGATGGCCAACTACTCGCTCATCTCTAACGATTGGCTAGACCATAACGTTGGAACGTTCATGCGAAAAGGTGAAATGTTAAGAGCCATGGCGTGCAAGATATGCTAAAGCGTCTGCCTGGTCATTAAAGAGATTATGTGTTACTCACCTTCGTTGGTGGGACACAGGGCAACTATTTCTGTCTTCTTACTGCCAACGTGGTACTCGTTTTATTAACCCCAGGTCAATTCAAGTCTGATTGCAAATAATCTCCGGAGTTGGACAATGTAACAGCAACACCACTCGGCGAGATAATGTGAATAAGGGACATAGACTGTTAATTTGTATTGGTCATGATACATCTCATTTACACCATTCCTATTGTCAAAGAACCACACTGAGATGCCCCACAATATGCCATGTAGATGACTATTAAATCCAGCACAACACAAAGAATTTGATATATCAGTGCAAAGAAAAAGATCCCCCTTAACCGACTTTTGGAGCCAATGTTCTTAGCGAGCACCTGTTTGGGCTAGCACAACAGACAATGGGATGGGTGACCAACACCATGCCTCGCCGCCTTTGTCTCCCTTGTGGCGATATTTGTAGTTGACCTAGGAGGGCCCAGGACTGGCCATGATCAGGAACCAAACTCGAGTCGCCGAGTTTGTAGCCCAGCGCGCTCACCGTTCCACTACCACTCAGTATACTCACACAAACACACTTGCGTGGCTTTTGTCATTCTAAATCTTTCCATCTGGTTTTTTTCAGGCACAGTTGGCAACTGGAAAAGTGAATTCACCGTGGCGTTGAGTGAGGCATTCGATACGGTCTATGCTAAGAAGATGGAAGGCTGCGATTTGAAATTTATCTGGGACATCGCAGAACTGCATAAATAATGTTTTTATCAAAGCCAGGAGCACTTAACTTTGATCAAGCTTAGTGCTGTTTATCAAGCTTTTTGACAGATTTCCATTTCTATTTAGCCAGTATAATTTGACTGCATTAATCATTATTTTACTCAAGAAATTATTTTTTAAATGTACATTGTTTTTAACTATTACATAAAGACGTAATAGCATGCTTAAGAGAAATGTAGCCAAAACAGTTTGTAAATGTTTGAATAGGCTTATATGTTGTGGCTAATTGCTTTTTTTTCGTATAGTGTGGATTGTGATTCTGGTCTTATAGATTTACTTTATTACGTCATAAATTGCTTTTTAAATTTGCTTTATCAAGCAAGATAGAGTTTCTCTATTATGTGATTAAATTATTTAATTGTCCTGATATATTTGTATAAAAGCTCATTTCTTACTAGCCTATTATTAGTTCTCATTTGCTACTTCATTTGTTTGTGTACGACTTGTAGTCAATGTCAACCTGTTATAAAATATTCTCTATCACCTGTTTAAGCACAGTCGTGAGACAGACTGCTGCCGGCAATCCGAGTTTATTTTGTAATGGATGCGTTACTGGGCATATCATCATGTTCAGGAGATAAGGGACACATCGGGTTGCAGTTAGGGCTATGGTGAAGCCTATCCATCGGCTGCCAATGTATTTTTGAGAGCAGCAGCGAGTGCAGCCGGTCCACCCTGTCCATACTCCCGTCGTGAATCTAATGCAGGATAAATAGACGACAAAAACAACAATACAATCATTAAAGTTCGGAGACGACGAGTCGGTACTCTGTGTTCTGTCCTCCGGAGAAGTGGGCGACTCCACAAAAGATAAGCACCGGGGAGTTTGTGAAACGGTGGAACTTCCTTTTCAATGTGTTCTTCAGAAGGTCAATTGCGTATCAACAAGTGATCATAAACACCCTCCACGTCAGTAAGAAGTCCGCCCAAATCTGTGCAGGTCGGGGTCGGAGTCCTAATTCCTGATCAGAGGGCACAATTATGCGATTTCATTCACAATGACAACAGAGAGTGCTTTCCAGGTGTAATGACCCAAATTGACCCCAAGTCAATGTGCAGCCTCACGGCGATTCAACGATAAGCCAAGGTCCCCGATTGGAGGAAAGAGGCCTCCACAGGCATTGTTCAGGAAGCAGGCTTTTGAAGTGATTGGGGGCCGTCCATAAATGACGTCACGCACCTAGGGGGGGTGGGAGGTCAGACATTTGTGACGATGTGTGACGAGGGGGGGAGAGGGTGAGAAATGTGACGTCACATCAAAATGCACAACTTTAAATAAATATAGACAACACGTTCTACTTAAATAGACTTTTTAATAAATGTTTTATCCTACAACATCAGAGTGCAGCGCCACATTAAATACGCACTACAATGACAATAGTTTAAAGCGATTTGAAGCATGTTTAATTTTCAAAATGGAAATGTGTTTTTTTTGGGGAGGGGTGGCAGAGCTTTGTGACGTCATATTTCAGGGGGGGTCTGACTTTTTGTGACGCCGTGTGACGAGAGGGGGAGGGTAAAAAATCGTCCCAAATCACGTGACGTCATTTATGGACGGCCCCTTGGAGGAAACGTTTTTAATGAGAATAGGCGGGGAATAAATTGGAACCTCGAGGCGACAGTTTGTATTCGTTAGAGAAAAGGACAGGGATTGGCTAAGGGAAATACAGTGAGGGAACATTCGAGAAAGGGGGCTGAGGGATCTATAAAGGGAGAGCACGAGGAGTGGAGATGTTCGGAGGAAGATACAAGCTTGAAGACAAGCACGAAACCAAGGGTCCCGAATTGTGGAAGTCTTCAAATAAAAGTGGTTCTTCATATAACTTATCACATCGTTGACCATCAGAGCCCCCTGCTGGATAATAGGGCCACGCCACAACGCCTCTTTTTCTATGCACGCCTTGTGCCGGCACAGCAAACCAACTTACATGTGCTATGATTCGACCTGAATGTATGATTAAATTAATGTTTAACCGTTTAATTCCATTGTTGATTTTCACCACCAATGTGCCATCACACGGCCTCGGCTGATCGCACGCTTTCTCGGAGCGCCTCGAACGCCCGTGCCACCGATGCACTCACTGCGCTGTGGTGGTCGCGTATCCATGTGTGTTCACTGTCGAAAAACTGGAAAACAAAGTAAAACAACGCAAAAAATGCTAAAGTTGAGTGAGAGAAAAGCAAATAAACGCCAAATTCGAGTTTAACAAAAATAGTCGCTGAAACTGTCGGGAGAAAAAAGCACTGCGGATGGAGATGGAGCGAGAAATGAATTTGTCACGTAGGCTTTCGCGACCAATGTCATGCATAATAGAGGTTTTTTTGGGGTTAGATCGCGTAAATATATATATAAAACCAAGTAGTTGGCTGTGTCGGGTGGTGGCGGGTTTTAACGACACATTTCTATATTTACGCGATCTAACCCCCAAAAAACCTCTATTATAAATGAATGTATGCCTGCAGGGAGCGCTGCACTGATCTTGCACTCAACGTGGCGAGCAGAGCGGCTGGAAAAATCTCCGGCTGCCGCTGCTGCCATGCGCTGCGCCCAGGTGGCACCAGAGCCAGCGAGGGTATTGTTGTTCTGATCAATTCATTATATCAGCTGACGTTAAGCCGGCGAGTCAGCATGAGGTCGGTGACCTGTGCGGCTCTTTAAAAGACGGCTTCGTGACGTGCTCTATCAAGGACCACCGTCTTGTATTCACATGCGATGCGGCTCTTGAAATATTTACGGGATATTTTTTTTTTACCGAATTTGACAAAAAAAATAGATTTTCTTGTTAATGTGGTTGCCGACTCCTGGGTGAGTGGAACAGCGCGGACTTCCAAAATAAACCCCTCGATGGGCATCTTTGCGTCTCTCTATCTTTATTAGTCTATTTCTGTCCTTATGGGTTTATATGGCCAACAGTTCGAGTTGCAAGGACGCAATCACGCTCATGCGGCTTGTCTTTAATTTCCCATTCATGAAGGAGATGTGATGCAGCATCGGCCTGTTGATGTTCTGATGGCGTTGATGGATGCACCAGTGTCCTCAAGGAGGAATGTCAAAGCCAGGAGGAGGTGGGATGATGTTGGGTCTCGAATGGAGTGTATATTCTGCACGTCCGCGTTGTGTTTGTCAGCGTTCACTCGGATCTGGGTGAGATTCGAGGATGGAGACAACAGCGCCATCCCAGGAGGAACTGAAAACAACTTATAACAAGGGTTCCAATACAGACATTGTTCACAGCAGCGGGACCACACATTAGCAATTTTAGAGCACTGAACAGAGTCTTGTAAAATCGGTGCCATCATGCGAAGAGAACCCCTTTCTGAATTTGCTGAGAATTCAATAACGTTTAAATAATTTTAACAACTAGGCTTTGACTATAATGTCCACATGCAGTATTTGAAATGTGTTAGCGTCATCTGAAAAATAACACCACCAGCAGCACCACAAGGACCACCACCAGGGCCACCACCAGTAGCACCACCAGTAGCACCACCAGGGCCACCACCAGCACTACCAGGGCCACCACCAGCAGCACCACCAGCAGCACCACCAGCACCACCACCAGCAGCACCAGCAGCACCACCAGGGCCACCACCAGCACCACCACCAGCAGCATCACCAGTAGCACCACCAGCACCACCACCAGCAGCACCACCAGCACCACCACCAGCAGCACCACCAGCACCACCACCAGCAGCACCAGCAGCACCACCAGGGCCACCACCAGCACCACCACCAGCAGCATCACCAGCACCACCAGCACCACCACCAGCAGCATCACCAGTAGCACCACCAGCACCACCACCAGCAGCACCACCAGGGCCACCACCAGCACCACCACCAGCAGCGCCACCAGGGCCACCACCAGCAGAACCACCAGGACCAGCACCACCACCAGCAGCACTACCAGGGCCACCACCAGGGCCACCACCAGCAGCACCACCAGGGCAACAACCAGCAACACCGCAATCCACGTTCAGCCGATGTGTCTGAATGAATGAGAGAGAGCGCCTGTTGAAAGAGATGGGGAAGTAGAGAACGAACGGTGGATTTATTAAATTTCAAAACGAAAGTAAATTGATTTGTACGATTTTAAACGAAATATTTTGGGTCATTTGTAAGGGAGGGAGGGGGGGGCAATATTAGTGGGGGTTGCTGCACCCGAGAGAGGAGGGGCCGAGTTCGTGGGGGGTGGGGCGGGGTCCGAAGTACGGGGGGCGTGGGGGAGAGGGGCGGGGGGGAGAGGGGCGGGGGGGCGTGGGGGAGAGGGGCGGGGGGGAGAGGGGCGGGGGGGCGTGGGGGAGAGGGGCGGGGGGGAGAGGGGCGGGGGGGCGTGGGGGAGAGGGGCGGGGGGGAGAGGGGCGGGGGGAGAGGGGCGGGGGGGAGAGGGGCGGGGGGCGTGGGGGAGAGGGGCGGGGGGGAGAGGGGCGGGGAAGAGAGGGGCGGGGGGGTGTGGGGGAGAGGGGTGGGGGGGCGGGGGGGGGGAGAGGGGCGGGGGGAGAGGAGCGGGGGGGGCGTGGGGGAGAGGGGCGGGGGGGAGAGGGGCGGGGGCATGTGGGGGAGAGGGGCGGGGGCGTGGGGGAGGGGGCGGGGGGGCGTGGGGGAGAGGGGCGGAGGGAGAGGGGCGGGGGCGTGGGGGAGGGGGCGGGGGGGGCGTGGAGGAGAGGGGCGGGGGGCGTGGGGGAGGGGGACGTGGGGTGCTACCCCCATGGAGGGTGGAGCCTCGGGTCGAGGCACGCCACGTGACCAGCACAGCTGGCAGCAGCGCGGTCACGTGGCTTCCAGCTGACACGCGTCTCGTGCTCGCGTCACGTGCGCGCGGGGGGTTGGTGGTGGGAGGGAGTGGGGGGGGGGGATAAAAGGGGGAAGAGGAGGAGGGAAGACGGTGACGACGACGACGACGAGGAGATGGAGGCGTAGGTGTAGGTGGGAGAAGAGAGAAGTAGAGGCGATGCCTTCGGGACTGTTGGAGAAGCTGCTCCGGCGGGGCTGCGCGCCGGGCCCCGAGGAGGCGGGGGCAGCCGGCGCAGAGCCGGGGCAGCCGTGCCCGGGGTGAGCGCGCACCACGTGGGCATTGTGCACTGCACGTGGACCCCGCGCGACAACGTACACATCATCGCTACTACATCGATTATACACCCACACATTCATACAATAGACTGCGCACGTGGAGAGCTACAGTAGACGCTGCACACGTGGATGGCTACAGTGTAGTTTAACGCGTAGGCTTTCGCGACCAATATCAATATTATAGTTTTTTTGGGTTCGATCGCGTTAATATCTAAATGTGTCGTTAAACCCGACACAGCCAATTAGTAAGTTATGAAAATGCTTATGAGTACAGCACACCGGTGTGTTGGAAAGCCAAGCCACACCATTTACAATCCGAGTACAACTATCTTCACCGGTGTGCTGTATTAGTAACGAATTAGCAAGTTCTGTTTACGTGACAACCATTACCGATTGGCTGTGTCGGGTGGTGGTGGGTTTCACGACATGTTGACGCGATCTAACCCAAAAAGCCTGTAGCTAGCTCCACCACACACGTACAATGCATATCCACTCCTCGCAGTGTACAACTACACGGTTTTAGAGACAAGTCTGTGTGTGTGTCGATCACTACAACATCAGCTGTGGTCGTGGCCCCGCTGTGTGTGTGTGACTGATCGATCCAGCGCTTACCAAATCACTCTGATCACTGATCACTAATCACTCTGTTGTATGGTCGCTTCTACCGTGGTTCAAGACTTGTCGTTGGCATTTAGCGGCGGTGCAAGTTGGTAAACATTGGCTAGGATGGCTCCTATACTGGTGGACTTACATGTTGGTGCCTATGTTTGTGTCGACAGAATTTAGTTTCTTTGTTCACCACACCTCACCACAGCTCCATGGTTGTGTTTACGTGCCGCAAGTGGTTATTGCAGGGCAGGTTAAAGGGTGGATATGAACAAAGCCACTGGGGCTCAGATTAGCAAGGTTGGCTACGTATGGTGCGAAAGAAGTTTTCACCCATACAACTTGTGTGCAAGGACCCTTATTAAAGTCACTCGGGACGAAATATATTCGCTTCCAGGGGGCGATTGTCAGACAAGGTGATGGGTGATCTTACATTTGTCCTGTAAAGACGCGATGTCACAAGCACAATTGGGAATGTGCCATGATTTTAGGGGGGGGGAGGTAATGCATACAGCTGCCCCTGGTGTAAAATACAGACGTGAGCACGTGGACATTATACTGGTAGGAACCTCCTGGTTACACCAGCCCACGGGATTATTGTGTCCGTCCGTCGTGCATCCAAAAATGGGAGGGGTGTAGCTGGGTGGGGAGGGGCTGGGTGGGGAGGGTGAGGGGTGGGAGGGGTGGGGCTGGGTGGGGAGGGGCTGGTCACCCCGTGGTGCCCTTATAAAACTCAACGTTTAACCTACTCACGCCGGCTTGTGCCCGCCCTCAGTCGGGCATATTTGCGGAATACACCACGTCGCCGTTGGCCCTGGCCATTGACCGAGCAACCCAACGTTCCTACCAGCTCCTTCCGCAGGAATGTGAATGGGTTACACATACATTATTCACTCGGGTAAGTTCATTGAGAACCAGTATGGAGAACCAAAATGAGACCAATACGCTGCATAGACCCGTGGAAAAAAAGCAGACGGAAACAATGTATTGTACAAATAATCATTGCGTAAAACAAAAGCCTAGAAGAAGAGTGATCATGGAGAATCGGCACCATTTCAATACAGAATTGAAAAGTCAACGTTGTTCTGGGGACACGTTGTACAGCAGGTAATTGGGGCCAAGTGGTGTTCATTCCTGTAAAGTAGAATACTTTTGGGGGGATGTTCACGAACTGGCAAACCTGAATTTGAAACGTCAGCCACGAGAGCGATGATTTCTGCTGTGCAGTTTTACTTGACACGATGTCAAATTTTACGATGTAGCGATGATCGCAATTATGAGTTTCTCGTCACGTCAATTGCATTTAATATTTTTTGTTGTGTTTGTGCGTCTACTGCACGTACTCTTAGGTTTTTTCGGTAAAGTCACGTAGGTAAAAAAAAATAGAATTATAAGTTTAAATCACAGTGATTTATAATTATATTTCTATTATAATTTATATAATATTCATTTTATTATTTACTTTTACCTACGTGACTTTACCGAAAAAACCTAAGTACGAATCCTTGCTGTCACGAAAGCTTCAAATCTAGGATCTACTGAACGTATTAATCAACATTGCTGTAACGTTTAAACGTCAATTCACTCCACAAGCAGCTTCCCATACGTTTTCTAATTATTGCAGCAGCACAGTCGAGAGCACGTGTCACGCATAAGCTCCTCTTCTTGGTTCTTTCGGTAAAGTCACGTAGAAGGGAAGTAATAAAATAATAAAAATAAAACATAATAAAACAATTCTCACGACGTTTCGGCCACAACGCAAGCAGCCGTCCTCAGGTGAAAACCAGACTCTGTCGCCTCGACGGACCTGGTTTTCACCTGAGGACGGCTGCTTGCGTTGTGGCCGAAACGTCGTGAGAATTGTTTTATTATGTTTTATTTTTATTATTTTATTACTTCCCTTCTACGTGACTTTACCGAAAGAACCAAGAAGATGAATCCCTGCAGTCACGAAAGCTTTAAATCGAAATCACGCATAAGCTGTTAAGTTGCAAGTAGAAATATAAATATTTCCAGCAACTATGAAAATGATGGTGTCGTATAATTGCCATGCTCTCAATTACCGCAAAGGACATTTCGTAAAGCGCCATATTTAATTCACTTTAATAGTGATTTTTGGTATTTACTTTCAAGAGTCTAGTTTTGTAATTTCAAAAGTATGTCGTCAGGAAAGTAAATGATGAAAAAAATCGCAACGGTGATCCCGATATGGCGATATTTAGTCAGCCGGGAGTGTAATGGTGAAATCTGATTATCGAGTCAACCCGAATAAAAATTGCAAAGCCCACCCAGTTGAGGTGTTGGCAAAGGGAATGGGGGAATTCAGGTTTTGAAAACCTCTCTGTCTTTCATTGGATCCTGGGGGCCATGTGACCATTAAGACTCGTGCTGAAGTAATTCGGCTCGAAAATTGCCCAAAATAAAACTCAAACTCCCAAAGGTAAACTTTGTTTTGATTTGTAGAACATGATCAATTTGTAAAAGCCACAACTTCTCAACTTGACAACTATCATAATCCCTACCTTAATTTTTTGTATCTCTTTAGTGTTCTGTAATAGTCGGTTTATAAACAAAAATGCACTTAATATTTGTTTTGACTTAATGTGAGTTTCTAAACGTTGACAATCCACTGCTGGATGAGGGCCTTCCTATGCCATGCGGTTATTTGGCCTTCACACAGATCGGTGCAGGTGTCTGAATGCTGGAAGTGTAGACGTTGAAACGTAGAAGTAAAGTACAACAATGCATTTTGCTGCTCTGCCATCTGCAACCTCCCCGAAGGAATCCACACACCACTACATTCAAGTAACAACTCAAAACACATCTCTTCGCAATTGTATACAAAAACTAACTCGCAACCACAACTTTATTTTTATATATTGTTTTGAAAACAACTGTAGATAGTTTGAAATGTATTTACATACTTTTTCTCATTGTGATGGTGCTTTTGAGTGGCCGATTTGTACGAATTTAAACAAGTTAAATTGTCTTGACTTGCTCACCATAACATAGCTCTGCAGCAGCCTGCTACAACCTCTTTAGCATGGGGGTCTCCCTTTTGAACACTCCTGCCTTCACGTAAACCTGCTTGGCTTCCGTGATTCGACCAGACCAGGCAAATTTAATGAGATTTGATCATAGGCAACTTCAGAACTTTCTATATATTACGGTGTTCACTTGGCCTTATTGCTGTTTTTATCGTCGCAGTCTTTGTTTACACGGACCATCCTTTTTGTGTTTAAGTTTGTCCTTCCCCTGCACCTCCAATTAACACTGTTGGCTACGTATGGTTGCAAAGAAGTTCTGAATGCATGTGTAAGGGCAGTACGGGCTGATGTAGGGACGGTACACTCCCCGTGGCCATGGTTACTAATTAACGTTCCGGAACAGACAAGGTCACGTTAGGGTAATGTGGGACCTAAGTGGTTGCTAATAATGATTGATGCGACAAGCGTTGACAGGGTCGTGTGAGGGAAAGCACGGGACCTAACGGTCGCAAATTGTAATAAGGGCAGAGACAGACAGGGCCAGGTGCTGTGAGAGAGGGTTCGGGAATAGGGGCGTGGCCGGGTCGTGAGGGGGATAAGAGCCGGCGTGGACCGGGGCTCTGGGCTGCTGTTGTGGGGGAACTGCCGTCGCCGTCGTCACCTTGGAGCGAGTCGTCTTCATCATTCCTGGAGTGGGCACCTTGTAGTCTTGGAAGGCTAGAGTTATATTGTCTCAGAATAGAGTTATCTAAGTTACCCAAGTGGATATAGTCACTTGCGGTTACTCGTTAAGTTATCAGAGAGTGTGCAAACTTTATTCATAATAAATAGACGAATAACTGAACAAGATGGTGTCTGAGAGCTACATTACACGTGTAGCGAGCGACTTCTGAGAAACGTTGTATAGAAGACTTCTTATTTATTCTCACACTTTTAAGCACAACACTGGGCGATACATTTATGTAACGTTTCTACGTAGCTACACATAGCCGACCCTTCTACACAACCCCATCGTCGGCGTCCAACTACACAGCTGTCTGATTAGCGCAGCGACGGCGAAGATGAGAGCCTTGCAGAAGATCGGCCACGTGGCCGGACGACGAAGAGAGATGACGGCGAGCAGCGACGCAGCCTAGGACCCGCAACAGCACCGAACCTCTGGTCGGGGTCCCCCTTATATACACCCCAGGTGCGACCTGGCCCGACCTCCGGCCACGCTTCCTTCCAGAACCTTCGAGCAGGTTCCCGGAGCTTCCCGATTGATTCCACCTTTCACCTTTACCCCAGATATGCCCCCCTCATAATTAGACATTATGTAACATGCCCATGAGCGCGATTACCACTTCAGGCCCGACACATGCATACATCCATTGTCCATTGATGTTTGGTGGTGCTAACGAGATCTGAAACCTTTCTCGGTGGTGGTGGATTTTAAATCTCACTAACTGGTGCTCATTCAGGGGAAAGTACACGTAATTGTTACGACAAGCATCGTTACCGGACCTAACCTCCCACCATGCTAAGCACTGTAGTCGTTTTACGCGAACCGATTTAAAGTTGCGCGTATTTACTGATAGGCACCTGGGGTATAATACAATTTTAGAAAATGGCGAGTAAAATTGCACAACGCGAAGCAAACTGGAGCGAGCATGTTTTAGAAGTGCCGTAAAATCAATAGCAGTACAAACAATGGGTCTGTGTGCTCACTCGCCCAGGTGATGTGAGGGCAAGTGCTGTTACGGCACGCACGTACGCATTTGATTAATTGCTAGTCCTTGTCCTCAGTCCGTGCAACACCACCGGTGGCAACGGCGACTGCTCGCTTATATATTTTACATTTCGTCTTTGTGGCCGCTTGCCAGCACGGCGGAGGCTCGTACATCTATCCAAATTAGGCTTTGGTGAAACGGAACGCGCCCTCCTATCAATGTATTTAAACTGATGAAGAAAGAGCAGCTGTAATTGAGGTATTGCTCTTAACACTCGTGTAAAGAGAAATGCTGTTGTCGTGTAACGTGCGAGGTATTTTTCTGAGTTTGCTCAATGTTACCATATTGTGACTTTTTGTTAAAGTCTGGAGCTGCCAAATTTTTTATTTTACCTGAAAAGCCATTCTTGAGAACCAAAATAATATGTATTTTTTATTATTCATATCACATACTATTGTAGTTCCATGGAAACCAAGTTGTGTTTGGCCAATTGTGGAGAGAAATAAAATTGCACTGGAAATGTTTAAACTTACACGGAAGGGCATGGACTTGGTGGGTTTTAGTCCCTGGTAAAAAGATAAATGGTTTTGGAGCCAGCATCGCAAGTCTGAATGTGTCACATAGTGTACTGTCATAGTCACGTGACATATGCGACTCGGAAGTCTTCGCTGGGTATCCTCGACTCGCGTTTCATCATGAAGCCACTTCTCGTTTTTTATAATGCTTGACCACCCAACTCCCTGAGGCTGCTGAAAACCTCTTTATTATCTGTGATTGGACATACACTCGGTAAACAAATTGTTGAGGGAAGGCAAACAATGCAAGTAATTCCTCCCAATTTACACCAGCTTGCATCGTCGAGGTTTATTAATAGATTGTGGTGATTTATTTGACAATGAGTGTAATATAAATAGATGGCTGTGGGCTTCGGTTGTACCGAACAAATGTGCCCACTGAGCTGCCGTGTGCATGTGTGCGTGTCTTTGGGGAGCGGTAATGTAGCAGCGGTTAGCGCTGCTGTGCTACGAACCCCAGTGACCCGAGTTCGATTCCCGCTCACGGCTAACGCCAGTGATTATCTGAACTGGTCCTGGACCTCCCCTAGGTCGACTAAGCCTTAAATGAGTACCTCGTGAGGTGTGTAAATATTGTCACTGGGGAGACAAAGGCGGCCGGGCGTGGTGCAGAGGTCGCAACCGTGTACCCGATACCCGGCCGGGTACGGGTACCCGTTTGCGACCCTGGTGCGGCCGGGTACGGGTGCGGCCGGGTACGGGTAGGCCGTGAGTCACTGGTGAGTAACCGTTTGTCACTCATTTCGGGTAGGGTACCTGCACCTGGCCGGGTACGGGTACCCATTTGCGACCCTGGTGCGGCCGGGTACGGGTAAGGAATCAAAACCCGTTTGCAACCTCTGGCGTGGTGCTGGCCACCCACCCCCATGTGTGCCGTGTCGGACTTGATAGGTTCTCGATAACAGAACTTGCCCCAACAGTCTTAAGGCTAGACGGGGTGTCTTTGTTAGTGAATTGTAATGATGTTCGGTTTCTGCAGAGTGCAAGTTTCATCATAAGTCGATACTTCCATTGGCCTCAAATATGTTTTGGCCTAAAGTCTTGAAGCAGCAAATGGAAATACCCCCTTGAGAGGTCATGTTTTTTTTTTACATCCTCATGATCACCTTGGGAGGTGGGGGGTTGTGTACTGAGGGTAGGTACTTTTCGTTCCGATGCATTTTTCATCACGTACAGAGTTAGAATTGGTGCCAAGGTGGTTTGCGTACTATTCAATGCCACATTTTACAATTATCGTGGCCAAAGCTAAATTTTTGACCTTTGGTATGGCCTTTTGCCCTGAAGCCAGTAGACATGATCACCGCATGTCATTGCATTCCCCAACATACATTCACTGTGGTGCAGATTGTAGGAACAAAGTGATCAAGCAGGTGCACAGGGCGTGCGTTCGGGGCGCTGTGTGGTGGCCCTCCGCTGGAAGCGTGTCAACACGTCGGAGGGTGGGGTGTCATGCTCCCACCTTCCTCGTGATGTCTGGGGGGGGGGAAGCCCTCGGACCACAAAATCTGTAAACACGCACGGGTGCGCGTGCGAGCACATGTGGCGTTGAGCACGTGCCACTGCGAGTCAGCCTGGCATGCGCGTCTGGCATGACGACTCGTGATCTCTGCGTGCTGCGCGTGCGTGCGCGCGTCTGAACAAATTCACAGCAGTAGGGGCCTCCCTGCCGGATATAAACAGCCCTGTAGAGCACCGGCCTCAGCTTGTGTTACACTTGCAGAGGGTCTGCATGGGAATCCTTTATTGCTTTGGCTTAGTCTCAATTATTATAAAAATGAAATTTGCTTTGTTGTAGGTTAAGAATGATAATTTTTTTTTAAAATTCTCATGCCATGTGGTGCTTTGGTGGAGTGCTTGACTCGAAGTTCACGGTAACTGATAATAATCACGAGTTAAACGACCTCGAAGTTCAAAGTTGGTTTGTATTGACTCAGCCCACCGTACCCCTGGAGGATGATAAGTACTTAACGTGCTACTTTACGCAAAGTCGACTGGTTGCCCTATTGAGACACAGACGCACACGAAAGAAACGTGGAACTTCCTGCACTGGGTAAGGGGCTACCAGTTCGATTGTACAGGGAAATACGTTTGTCGATGTGTAATGTGTGGGTAGTTGAAGGGTGACCACATCCAGTTCTGTACTTTTTTGAAAGTGAGTGAATCTTCCCTTTGTCCTTTTAAGGTGCTCCTGTCATACACTTATGGCTGTTAGTCCTATCGGGAACGCCACAGTAAATTAACGGGATTGTTTATTAAGCTTTTTCAAGAAGCACCAGTTTCAGATGCAGTTCCCGGTGCATGACACAAAACACGGGGCATCGTGCAGGAACACGAATCGGTACAACCCGATTTTATCACGTCGGCAGAGCCGGACGGCATAACCGCGAAACTCATGCAGTTATGTTTCATAGTTGCCCTTGGTTCATTCGCAGATATTTGACCAAAAATTACTACTTTCTGCAAAAGTTTGAAAAACTCTGAGGCTTTGCAGGCTGAAGATCTCGCATTTCTCCATCGAGTCTTGTTCAGCATGGTCTGCGCAGCTGTGACAGGTTCCCGTGGTCACGTGGTCTGTGTTGTGCTGCTGTGAGAGGAGTCGAGGCAGAGCTGCTGCGGTGGTCGAAACATTTCGGTGTAAGCACCTGCCGCTCAATGTCCCGTGCGGCACCTTCCAGGTGGTGCACGGGCGACGATGACCTCCGCCTCGTTGTCTTCCGCGACTGCGAGCGCCGTGGGCGACAGCTCCTCTTCGACTCCAAGACTGTGCGCAAGCTTCCGAGAACCAGCCCGGTATTGCTGCCAATCCCACCATGCTGACGGTGCCACTACATGGTCACTTAGGGTGCCACCACATGGTCACCACACAGCCCAAACCAGGTCATCGGCGTCGGCACCGTCATTGTTTTCTGCAGTGATTACCAAGACTGTCCCATATTGAGCCACGGCTGTTATTGCTGTTGAAAAGTGGAAAGGTGGCACAGAGGTCCATGTGCTGCACTATGAACGCTGATGTGCGTTTTGATGCCCTGGCCACGGCTAACATCAGTGCCAAATGACATCCAAACCGGTCCTGAACCCCAACTTCCAACTCGCACTGACTAGGACGGTGAAGTATGATCAAACAAACTCCTTTGACCAACGTGTCAATCGTAGGCCTTAAGCCAGAAGTTGGCAAAGCATTGTAGATAATTAAAGTAAAAAAAAATGCTAACTCTATCGATATCATTACCATGGTAATTACTGCGTTCACCACTGTTAATTTTTCCACTCTTACCACCAACACTGTTCTGACGGCATACTGAGCGTCCTTTTTGCAGCCATAACATCATCGGTAATAACACCGCCATCACTGGTCGCGCACAAATGCAACTAAGACACTGCACTACACTGACTTCTAAAGTGCCACATAATCTTTTTCGATAAAGTCACGTAGAAGGGAAGTAATACAATAATAAAAATAAAACCTAATAAAATAATTCTCACGACGTTTCGGCCACAACGCAAGTGAACCATTCAGACTCTGTCTCCTCGACAGGCCTGTTCTCTGCCTGAGGACGGCTACTTGCGTTGTGGCCGAAACGTCGTGAGAATTATTTTATTATGTTTTAATTTTTATTATTTTATTATTTCCATTCTACGTGACTTTACCGAAAGAACCAAGAAGATGCCACATAATCGTTCAAGCGCGTCATCTTCATGATCATCAGCCATTATCTCACCACTTTCCATCCCCCGAGGTTTTGCATTGCGACAATCTTGTACGTGAACTGATCTCGGTGCTTTTATCTTGCCACGGTTGCCTTCTTGGCACATTCCGTTTCCTCGTTCTGTCGCTCATTTGTCCATTTGGCCAGCGTCCCTTCTGTATTGTCCTGCCCGAGCCCACATGGTGTCCTTAGCCAATATCCTGCCTCAAATATATATTTTTTTTTACAATTCATTGATCCGTGTGCTCTTCTTCGTGCTACTTTCTGCACTTTTTTCTGTATAACTAAATAAATACATTTGCCATATTACAATACATATGCGACGGCTGGTAGTGTGGTACACAAGTTGTGGTGCGATAGAGGAACAAAGGTGAACAACTCCTGCCTAATGTGTACAAATTGTGTTTTGTCAGTTTGAGGGTTTATAAGAATTGGCTGCTGATGGGATTGGCACAATTCATCCAGACCAGTTTGGCAACTGCGTTCGGCCTCCCCCGACCTCTCATTGTGGGTCATCCCCTTGCGGTATCAGTACGAACATGTGCTTCCGTCACATTATCCACCAGGCCGTGTTATGTAGATCATTTGTCCACCTCCTGACTTCAAGTATCGTTCATCTAAAGGGTTTCTCCCATTTCATATTACAAGTGAATTTTTTTAATAGAATTCTTGACCACGGTGTTTAGATTTCACTGCAGCATTGGGTTGACCCCTTCTCCGCCATAGACCAAACCCGGACACAATTCTCAGTCCTACAATAACCGGCAATCAGATCTCAGTATAAATCAGTTCCTGCCACCTGAACACAGACACCATTTCCTCCGACTGTCCAGGTCGCACCTGGATGGGTGGCAACTCTCTCCTGCTCTGCCTTCTTGTTCCTGTTCCAAAGTCCGCCCAATTTGACTGATTTGCATCAGTTGTGCAGTGGCTTGAGTACTGTGCTCTCACCAAACCGCACTGACCACTGCCGTGAACTATGGCCCAACAACTCGCATCACACCGCTATGGTGAAGGTGATCTTATCTCCCTCGTCTGGTGTGCAGGAGGTTGTGGGTTTGACCCCCGACCCTGACGATGCCTGTATACGTGGAGTTTGCTTGTTCTTCTCGTGGTCGCGTGGATATTTTTTTCGGGTCCTCTGGTTTTACCCTCCACGTTTTAGAAACGTGCGATTTAGATAACTTTGCTACTGCTATAGATTCCCGTGTGTGATGGTGATATCGGCCACTGCGATTCGCTATCATCATACGTGGTCAGGTCACCTCTGAAAAAGAGCTCCATAATTCGGTAAATTTCACCTGGTAAAAACACACAGCAGGGAAGCATTCCTCCTAGCTGATGGATGACACGGGGATGAAAAATATATCGCGTTGTATTTTTCTTCCCCATTCAAGAAGATGACGAAAATTTTAATCAAATGTCAGATTTACTGCGTACACTGGATGGAAGTGCAAAAACACACTTCGAGTTGATTTAATAAACACCAAAGGTAGACCATGAACATGTTTCAACAGTTGATGTGGCCAGCAGTTTGTGGCACCGTTCAGAATTACGTCATACTTACAGCAACGGCAGATTTAAATCCATCGGTGCCAAATTTCCTTGTGGGGGGGGGGGCGGGCGCAGTTTGAATGAATTCTGCAGGCGAGAGTTTCGGTGTTTGATGGGCCTTTTTATTTTGAGTTGAACATTAATCTAGCGCAGGAGGGGGATCGGAGTCTGATGCCAGAGCGCGAACCAGCACCACCGACGCCTGGGTTTGAGTCCAGGCAGCTGTCTCTTCTCTGCACAACAAACACCTAGCAGAAGAAATGTCTAATGACATTGTGCCGACAGCACAATTGACAATATAATAAACATAAATGAGGGCGACCTGCTTTACCCGGAATATGAAATTGGCGTTTAAATCTTCACTCGACACTGTAAAAGCCATATCCGCCCTGCACCCTTTCTGGTATTGCCTGGTGAGTGGATTCTACTATGGCAGAGACTCATCCCACCTACGTGCATCTACAGGGCTTACGAGGCTACGTTCTTAACCCCCTGCGTTTCTACATCGTCACCAAGGCCAGGATTGTCATACTCTTGATTTTTACGTTCCCTGCTGTAATGTTGCCCTGCAACCGTCAGACTCGTCACAAGCTCGGAGATGCATTTTCCTGCATGCCTCATGTCTTTGTCTGTTTTATGGAGAACAAAAGGGTAGAAGCACAAGTGAGCCCGTATCTGCACCCTTGGTACTGCAATTATTGATGGCTTTATAAACCCTTTCCTTGTTCCGAGGAGAGTGGGTCCCATTCACTGCCGAATCTCGCAACGTGCAAGTGGTTAGCGTTAATTTTATTTAGAGAAGCGTAGTGCTGTTGTTTTTAAAGAAATTGTAATCGCCACATAGAACTGTAGTGACATGACCGCGCTCTATGATAGCTGGCACCAAACTTCCACACACCCTCCTGCATGGGCTTGGTCAATCTTCTGACCTGAAGACATGCCAATAAAGTTATTTTAGTTTTTCTTCCGATTCCGTTCCGAACACGCACATCGGAATGAGGAAGAGGTTAACATCGATTTTTAAAGTCATGATGTACGCATGACGTTGCGTGCGTGAACGTGAATGCGCTCTGATCGGTGTATATTCTGTATGATGGGTTAATTGTCATCCAAGGAGCCACGGTGGGTGAGTTATTCTTATCGCCTGCTGCACTCGAAAATGTACGATTTTTTTTGGTTGTGGTTGCTCCCCGTAACGAGATCCAGATGTCACCCGGGACACCAAGCCACAGATACACTGAGGGGGTAATGCTTGTTGTCTGTCGTTCTTCTCTGTGGCCAATGTCTCCTCACTTTGTTGCACAACAGAAGAGCTCTTCTCTACAGATTTGAACGCGTCGACGCCGCTCTTTATTAATTCGGCAGTGCCCGGCGCGGTGCCGTACGCGTCGTGCGCGGAATTCGTGGCACGATGCTGGCACTGAACTGTGGCCATGACCCTCCCCCATATCTTGTGCCACCCCCCCACGGCTTTCGTTTCAATGGGGAGCCTGAACGAGCAAATAATAACCAGATGACGAGGATTTGTCGATCACAGGATGGCAGTTAAGATGTGTGGGACTGAAATGGATCTATACAGGCAGTAACACTTTAACAATACTTGGCATAACCTGTTAATATTTCTATCCGCACAGTCGTTAATTTCGTGCCCACCATTACAGTATGGACTTACAGCTATTGATTGGATTTGAGACATCGACATAACTCTTCTTAACATGTAGGCTTTTGCATCCAATATCAAGAGTCCTAATCGGCACGTTTGTTCCTGTGACAACCCTATTATTATTATTATTTGGCTGTGTTGGGTGGAGGACTGTTTTACGACAAGCCATTTTACTTGCACGATCTGACCCAACAACAACAAAATCTATTGGGAACAACTCTGGTCCGGTCATCATTCGGGATGACGCGGGTGCCTCTTTTGCAGTCCACTGGATCTTGGTCCACGTTCTCTGACCAGGAACCTCTCAAGTCGGAGGTTCCTAACCGCGTGCAGCCCAAGGTGCAGTGGCACAGTGTTCCCACAGGCAGCTCGTGGTGGTGACGCCACGCAGCCAAGGTCAATTGATCCTTTTAAAGAACAGTCGCTGATTCAAGGAATGTCACATTAGACGGCTTCTTTTCTCTTTAATGATTTGGCCCACACGAGCTGACCAAGTGGGTCGAGGTTACACACCTTACTCATTTGTCTGGCTGGCTCCGTTCCTGGGCCACCAGAGGTGCTTGTTCGGTCCTGTGGGCAATAAACAAACCTGTCAAGCAACCTGACCTTCTTCAAAATAGCCCCGTGTTTAAATTAAGACCTGCAGATCCGTGCCACGAGAGGCTTGCAGCGCTTTGGAGCCTGTCATTGCTAAATGAAGGTGGCACTTTCTCACAGCAAATCACGTTGCTTTTTCGGCAGAATGACATGTCAAAATCCGCCATTGTTCCACTTGGCGAGGTTTACTTGTGGACAGCTAATGGATCACTTTTTAGGCGCGAGTGGAATGGGGACCAATTGGTGTTCCACAGTCTGTGAAACCACTGCCAAAGGTCACGGTTGTCTTCTGCCAAGGCTGCGATCACATGCACGTACACATTTGTTGTCGCATTGATGCAAGCCCATTGCTGCTGATGACAGATGTATTTGTGTGTGTGTGTCTGTTTGTGAAACTCCATCTTCCCCCCCCGCCCCTCCTATCACTGACTGCCCCAGTCCTTACTCGCATCCCTTTACCTACTTTGGCATTCCCATTAGCTCTGTCGTCTCTCCACATGGGCACTGCTCAGGTTCCAGGCAGTTGAATGTCATTGGGTCCCCAAATCAGCAGGCGCTTTGGCTGCAAGATGAACTTTCCGTGCGATTTTATCATCGGCACTCGTCAGAAGTTAAAATGTTATTATTCGATCGGCAATCAAAATAATCCTTATAGCACCTCCGATTACCATGGTTGGCTACGTACGGTGCGAAAGAAGTTCTGCATGCATACACCATACATACAGTATATACAAATAGCATTGTAGAAATATTTCCTTTTGAAATCTTGTGTTTTATTAAGGCAAAAAAGCTATAAGCGCCGATTTAAATGTCTGGAGTCAAACAAGTTCCTAATTGAATAAAGGTTTGGAGCTTGAAACCGAAATAATAATTCCTGCTTGTGCAGTAATAACTAAAGACATTCCGCATGCCATTTGTTGGTGCGTATCAGTTTTGCGACCCGATCCAACCTTGTAAGCCAGTTTGGCCTCATTGCGTGTGGCCAAAGTTGCATCTTGACAAAGTGTTTCTGCTGGTTGGCACTCCGGTCTGCTGTCCCAGAGACTCGGGCACGATTCCTGGATGCGCACATCAGGAGCAATGGGTCAATTAAATGATTTGTGCCTTGGCCCACCTGGGCCAAAACTGAGTAGAGACGGACTTTGCTTATCACCACCCTGTAGGACACTAATTTGTTATGGCGCGCTTTCTCTTTTTTTCGAGGGGGGATAAAGAAAATCACTGGTCAACACACTTTTTCCGGCATAAGGTATTCCAACGGTGTTAAGGTAATTTTGGGGTGCCGATTCCAAATCTGGGATCAGTTTTTGTCTATCGCATCAGGGTTTTTGAGATATCAAATGTTGCATTTTGAATAAAAACTGCTGAGAAAAATATTAAATAAATGTGGATATCTACATAAAATGATATTATAAACACACTATCCTAAAAATACAGCACCATATTTTAACACTAAAGCAGTCACTGACTCGCAACAACTTGCAATCATAAGTGACAGAGTTAATTTCGGGTTAAATCAGATTTGGAATCAGCACCCTGAAATTAGTCTAAAACAGCTGCAAAAGTCCAGGCCAGAAAAAAATGTTTTTTTTGTTGACCAGTGAAATCTACAAAGTGGCAGTACTTGCTGAGGAAACGTATCCGCCCCCATCATTCGCTCGGCCCATGAGAGCAATGAACGCTCCAAGCCAATCAGACCCCACCTCCCGCAATTCGATTACCATGATTCGTGGTCACGGTTATAATGCTTTTAAATATATTTGTTTAGCCAGATGAGAACTCGCGAGACACAGATTACCTTGGGCTTCACCTAAAAAACCTCATCACAGAAATGTCGACTCAGGGTAGCAGCTCCTCCAACCTCGTCTACCACCTCTGACATAATACTTACTGATGTTTTAATACATTATTCTCTTCATGAAATAATGTTTTACGTCTTTGTTATTATTGTTAGGGCTATTACCTATACCCCAATGAAGCCCTCGTATATTGCTCCATGGGAAATAAATAACGCCGTTGGGAACGCATCCTCACATACACAATGGTGTAATGACCACCCCTTTTAGCGCCGATTCGATTAGCAGACTCTTCTCCAGGAACGCATCGAGGTCTACCTGCACATGATCGTGTGCTCGCACAAGTATTGGAAGAACAAAATTATCTAGTCGTGGGTAGTGCTGGCACCATCATCCCTGTGCATCTGTTGTTCGCCTTAATAGGTACTCGCTAACAACAATTACCCCTCCAGCGTATAAGGCTTACCGAGGAATGTGTGCCCTGTGTGTGTGCGTATATCTCCGTGCGAATGCAAGGAGTGTGGCGTGAAACAGGCGTGCGTGTTTGGGAGGTTCTGTTATCTCGGCAGTGCCACTTCCGCTCCGCAGCCCGGCGCCAGTCTCCACGAGGAGGAGGGCCCACGGTACCAGGTACGGAACCTCCCGTTTCCATTTCGGGCCCTGTCGCTGGCTTCTGCTCGTACCACTGCGTATGCACAGTTACATATTGGGGAGTGGTAGTGTAGTAGGTTGGGGCGCTGCGCTACGAATCCGGTGACACGAGTCCGATTCCCGCTCGCGGCCAACGCCAGTGCCGATTTATCTAAACTGGTCCTGGGTCGACTTGGCCTCGCATGAGTACCTGGTGCGGTGTGTAAAAACATTGCCGCTGGGGAGACGAAGGCGGTTGGGCGTGGTGCTAGTCGCCCACCCTCTTTGTATGTCATGCCGGCCTTTAAAGGTGCTCTCTCGTAGCACTTGCCCCAACAATCTGGTTGAGGCTATATGGGGGATCTTAGTTTTTTTCCCAGTTGCGTGCACTTTTTACATCCTGCGGCGCGAGTGGCGGTGCCGTTCGTTACGCTGCCCCGCTCCTCTAGCCCGGCCTCATTTGCTCAAACGAGAATTCGTTGACCGTGTGCAGGAGGAAGCCAGAATGCCTGCTGGAAAACAATGCATACCAGACCAATGTAGACTCGTGCTTGTTAACACGTACGATTTGACCGCTAATGTTATGATAATTCCGACTTGTGTCGTAACAACTAATAAGTTAAGTTTCAAAAATTGATCGTTGGATAATGGCGGGTTTAACGACACACATATACGTCATCTAACCCAAAAAATATTTGAGGATAATATTTGTTGCGAAAGCCTCCATATTAAACTAAGTTGAGACATTCCACATGCCCTCTGTTGATGTGTTTGAGTATAGCGATCCGATCCAGCCTTGTAAGCCAGTGGTGACCTCCTCATAATGTGTTCCCAGGGTCGCATCTAGGAAAAGTGGCTGAAGCGCACCGCCCTGGGAATGTGGCCCATAATTGTTCCTACCCTCAGCAGTTGTTCTCAACCTTTTTTTCTTACACCCACAACCAATTATAGCCGCTTTCAAAATCTCAATTGCGGTGAGCGATGTTAAATAGTGGCGTATGTACAAGTACGAAATGTGTCGTTGATCAAGGACCGGTCAACTGGGTAGTGGGTAGTGGGTGGCACGTGGTCCATCGATGACCCTGTGGGTCTGCGGGCTGTTGGACCCCTTGTTCGTTAACAAAGCCCTCGGCGATATCTGCAGATCAGCATACCGCTGGTTGAGAACCAATATCCATTCGCATCTTGTTGCTTTTGTGGATCTGCATATGACAGGACGATTTATGCTTATTTTTACTGTACGAGTAGTCACGTTATCTTGTATGCTTCTGCTGCTGTTGTGTGTGCGTGTGTTTGCGTGCACGTGTATGCCCACCTTACAGTGGCATTCAAGTGCACAGCCTGGCACAAGCGCCGTGGTGACGTCACCGCAACTTTGTTGTTGGGTTTGTGCAGACGCTGCGACAGTGCACCGACGTGAAGATGCTGTGCGAGATGATGTTTGGGTCCGTGGCAGTCAGCCTCAAGACGTCCACGCTGAAAATCCACCACATCAGGTGTGGCCCAGCGCAGGCAGTCCCAGACGATACAAGACATTGATTCGTGCAGCCTTCAACACTGCCCACTGGGAGTCTATAACTCGGTTTTGCACCTTTTTCCACTGTAGACCAAGCCCAGACATATTTCTCAGTCGGCTTTGGTCTATTACCAACAGTGTGCAGTTTTCTGAGAAATTTCTACGCAAGACCAGATCTCTGTACAAATCAATTCCTGCTGCCCGAACACAGACGCTAATTCCCGGACTGTCCGGGTCAAATCTGGACGGGTGACAGTGCTGCTGTCTGTTACAGCACTGCTGTGTTCTTGCAGCTATCAATGTCCTAATCAACATGAGCAGTCTTTTGTATTCTCCCCAATGTGGGGGTGGTGGAGGGGGAGCTCTTTTGGCAGTAGTGGAATGATGCGTGGTGGTTTGCTGTGTGTGGTGTGACACACAGGTGCCCACCCCAGCTGCTGCTCAGCAGGGTGTACAGGGTGCGCACTTGCAGCGGAACCAGCACTGCCACCAGCACGTGAGTACGCGAGCGGCCTGGGAGAAAGAGGGTTGATGAAGTGAATCTAAAATTAGTGCTCTCAGCTCGAGGCTGACATTTGATGCTCTGCCACTTGGTGGAGATCCATGAATGTGCGTCTTCACCGTCCTTTCGTTGTGAGTCTCGCGTCACCCTGTCGCCTGTGTCAATCTGTTGCAGGCTCAATGAAACTTTCAATTGCTCAAACCCGATTTTCAGTGAAGCCAAGCCCTGCACTGACCAAACGCCCGAGTGTGGAAGCCAAAGGGGTACTGCACGCACCTGCACGCACCTGCACGCACCTGCACGCACCTGCACGCACCTGCACGCACCTGCACGCACCTGCACGCACCTGTCCCCACAGGTACCAAAAACAAAGCTTGTCTTTAGCCTACGTACATTCTTTGGACAAGCGCAGTTGTTGAGCAGCTAACATTGTACTTCCTATTCTTAGGTTTTTTTCGGTAAAGTCACGTAAAAAAATTTAAATTAATAAAAATAAAATAAAAATCACGACGTTTCGGAGGCAACACAAGCTTCCGTCTTCAGGTGGAACAGTTACGTGACTTTACCGAAAAAACCTAAGAATATGAATCCTTGCAGTCATGAAAGCTTCAAATCTAGAATTGTGCTACCTGGCTGCAACACTACCTTACTCAGGATTATGCCTATTTTTTCTCTTCATCGACAGGCTTAAAAATGACATTTTGTCCAAAGCTAAAACTTTTCCACACATCTCACACGTATTTCTCGTCAGCCTAGGTCTTATTCGTAATAAAGTTTTTTGGGTTGGATCACGCAAGTATAAATGTGTCGTAACTCTCCACCACTAGACACAGCCAGTCAGGTTTTTCATGTTAACAACTCGCCAATTAGTGACTACTTCAGCCCACCGGTGTGTTGGAGATTAAATCCACAACATTTACGATTTGAGTACCGTGACGTTTCGCTGGTAATTACATCGAGCATCACATCGGGCGATTTGCAAGAATAGTGAAGCAATCCACCTACTCCGGTCTTAAATAGAGCAAGATGATGTCATCACTGTGAACCCATCGGGTGCAGAGATCCGAGGTGGAGGAGGGGGGGTATTGTAACACTCTTATATAAGCGCACAACTTTATCTATCTTTGAACGCTGCACTTTCCGTCGTTTTCATGCAGGGGGCGCTGCAAACCTATGCGCTCCCTGCATGAACGACGGAGGCGCAGGGATAGACGTTCCACTACGTTGGAATCGATCTGCAGATGGCGGTCTTCTCGCACGGCAGCTCTGTTGCTTTATCTCGATCGCGCAATCCCAAACAGGTGAAAGTCCGCATCGAACCGAACCCCCAGCAAGGCCATCTACTTAACGACGAGAGAAAATTCACACGACATGTCCTTTTCAATTTAAAGCTTTCGTGACTGCAGGGATTCATCTTCTTGGTTCTTTGGTAAAGTCACGTAGAAGGGAAGTAATAAAATAATAAAAATAAAACATAATAAAATAATTCTCACGACGTTTCGGCCACAACGCAAGCAGCCGTCCTCAGGTGAAGAACATGTCTGTCGATAAGACAGAGTCTAAATGACACGTCTTAGGCTTGGAGTGTCTATTTAAGCTGTGAGGGAGGAGGAAGAGAGCCTTGACAAAAGAATTTGCATTTGAAGAGGAATTTAGCATATTTATGGGAAATGCAGGAATGCGAATAGTGCTAATTGTGAAATGCGTGGGAGGTGGGCGGGGGGTTTTCAAAGTCGCATTATGCAGGATTAGCAGCATCAAAGGGAGGGGGCAAGGGCAGGGGCAGCACCAACAAAGGGAAGGAATGTGAATAGTTAAAGTTTATACTTTAATTTTTTACGTGGTTGTTTGGTTGCTGCAGCTGCATACTATTCACATTCCTTCCCTTTGTTGGTGCTGCCCCCTCCCTTTGATGCTGCTAATCCTGCATAATGCATGGGCACAATATGACTTTGAAAACCCCCCGCCCACCTCCCACGCATTTCACAATTAGCACTATTCGCATTCCTGCATTTCCCATAAATATGATAAATTCCTCTTCAAATGCAAATTCTTTTGTCAAGGCTCTCTTCCTCCTCCCTCACAGCTTAAATAGACACCCCAAGCCTAAGACGTGTCATTTAGACTCTGTCTTATCGACAGACATGTTCTTCACCTGAGGACGGCTGCTTGCGTTGTGGCCGAAACGTCGTGAGAATTATTTTATTATGTTTTATTTTTATTATTTTATTACTTCCCTTCTACGTGACTTTACCGAAAGAACCAAGAAGATGTCCTTTTCAATTAAGTCTTCCAGATGTAAAATGATATAAGCTTAATGAAGAAATACAATTAGCTAATTCAAAACATAATACAATTCAAAGATGTTTAATTTAAAAACTTTTAAACGGAGCATCGGGTGCTTGCGTGAATGCGTCGTTCGCGTGCAATTTTTTGTGACTTTCCTGGCCGAAGGCTGTAAATGGTTGAGGGGCGCCACAGGCACCCTCGAACAACTCCTAGTTAATTATATAATAGATTAGTAATCGGTTAATTAGCATGTGTTTCCTCCATTAGGAATACAGTTGTAAAATGTATTGCTTAATAATATGCTTCCAGGCCACACTCAGCTTGTAGCTGTCAGAGCGGTTAAAATTATTTGTATTTATCTCAATTTCAATAGACTCTGGAATTAGTCTCGGCAAGTAATAATTAGTTTTACACAACACTTAAACGTTATGAAAATCAATTGAGTGTCCTTGTTGGCAAGCATGTTCTGCAACTGCCGACAGTTGTGTTTTGAGATTATTTAATATTTATTTGGTGTTCTTTTAGGCTTGCGCTAATGTTACGTCCCGTCTGTCCAATATAGCATCTGCCACATAAGCTATTTATCCGATATACACCTTCTGTTGATAACTTGGGCAATTCATCTTTAGTACAAGATACTAGTTTTTATTTTATTTTGTGTACCATGCAAAATCTTACTCTTATTTTCTGTTTTTACAAAACTCGAGCTAATTTTTCATTTACTCCCACAATATGGTATTTTAATAACCATTTCTGCTTTCAGCAGTATTGCTATTAGATCTTGGATTGGCATTCAATGTTCTGTTAATTTAAGCATTGTTGTAGCCATTTAATCGCAGCACTTCTTTAACATGATTAATCTGTCTCCATCTGACACTGTTTAGCCTGATATATGAGCATCTTGATGAGAGAGGATTTCTGTGCGGGTGATGATGCGAATCTGCATTCAGATAGGCATCGGTGTGCGTATTTATTTGGTGTACTTGAAGCAAGTGCTCTTGCTTCAAAGTTTTCCATGTACAGATTCCCAATGGCAGGAGACAAAGGAGAGCCCATTGCTGCTCCTTTCTTTTGTTTAAATAAATCGCCTCTCCTTAAGAAAGCATTGTTATTTCGACAATGGTCAGCTAGTTTTGGAATATCTATCAATGCAGTGCTGTCTGCTGATGCCACCAGCTCTCGGGTACAAATCAATTCCGGCCTACCAGATGGCAATTCCTGGACTGTGCAGGTCAAACCTGGATGGGTGGTGACCCTACTTCAAGTTGACAGATGGTCATAATCCACGGTAGACTAGCTAACGTTTGTGCGTGTGCGTGCGTGCGTGTGCGTGCGCGTGTGTGCGTGCGTGTGTGTGTGTGCGCGTGTGCGTGCGCGTGTGTGCGCTGCTTCCCCAGTCTCCAGCGCTCCCATGGAGATGCCTCTGAAGACCGTGGTTGGTGCACGACATGGAGGCCGCATGCAGCCCGGTAAGGGCACGAGTCGTATCGCCGAGGCTGCTGATGCTGCTACTGCTGCTGCTATGGCGCGGTGCATTGTGATGCGGTGAATGGCTGTGCATGTGTACGGAAGATGCAGGAAGTTGCGCAGGGGGTCGTGGTCCTCCCTGTTGTATCCGATCTGTCCCCGTGACCTGACTTTTAAGCTTTTTATTCTTGATCCTTTGACTTTTATTCAAAATGTGAATTCAAGCTCGGTACCCGTACCCAGGAGCTGCTGTCTAATTCCAAGGGCTGAATATTGGTGTGGAGTTTCTGCGTCCGATATCGGTTTGCCTCATTCTCGTACTTGGTGTTCAAGTTGTTACTTTTGTAACTTTGACCCCGGTCTCTTGAGTTCTCGCCTGGCTTTAAGCAACATCAATTAGAAACTTGATTTGGCAATTTAGTCCTGATCTCCTGACCCCTGACGTTTACGCCCGGTCTCAAGCACTCTGAGGCGTGATCTCCGAATCTCCGATGTCTCGCCTCCGAGCCCTTCTGGTGTCCTGCTACTCTGTGCGCAGGCTCCGTCGGCAGCATGTTCTCCATGCCAGGCGCCTCGCTGGGCTCGCTAAGTTCACTGGGCATGAGCCCCGGCACCGGCACCTGGCACCGCAGCCTGCATGCTAGCGGCACCACCTCTCAGCTGTCGAGGAGGTCTGTTTTCTCTCCCCGCTGGCTTGCTACACGAGCGCGTCCTGTGTGCGTGTTGCTGGCGAGCGTGTCCCCGCAGTGCGAAGATATAAGCAGTGCTACCCCAGTCCCTAGGTTGAATGCGGAGATACCAACGGACACCTAACAGAGACGAGCTGGGGATATGATGCTGTATCTCACCTGAAATGCCGTCACAACAAAAAAAATCCTCACACCCGTATGTTTGTTTTAAAGTCTACAAAACAAATCCGCAGATTCTTCCCACGTCCCTGTAATTGCATTGTTCAAAGTTGCGTTCATTGACGTACGTTTTATTTGTTTAGACCTTTTTTTTTACCGATTTTAAAGTGCGTCAGTCCCCTTGTGCCGTGCCTGCGCCAGGGTGGAGGACGACGACTTCCGCCTGCTGTCGGACACGGGACAGCCCAGCCCGTCGAGCCTGCGCCGCATGCGGCTGGCGCTCGGCGTGGTGGTGGCGCTGCCCGTCGGCCACGAGGCCGCCCTGCAGAACTTCCTCTTCACGCACTTCCTGCTGCTCGAGGGACGCATGCGACGCCTGAAGGCGGCCGTGGAGAAGGTGTGCCCTTCGCCTAGCCCTGCATGCTCCTAACCCTGCCTCCTACACATCTTCCCCGCGTCGGTGCTGCATTGCATGCGGAACTTGGGTCGACCAATGACTGCGCATATCCAATATAACTACCATTTTTATTCTACCAGGTAAGGCCCACTGAGCTATATAGCTATTTTTCAGATGCGACCTGGCCACGAATGATAGATCAACGTAATGACTTATGTGGAAGTTTATAGCAGCCAAATACTCCACGCAACACGGGGAGAACATGCAAACTCCAAATATACAACAGGCATTAGGGTCAGATCGAACCCACGACCTGCATACCAGGTGAAGCAGATAAATTATAAATTGAGCAGTTGACCCTATACAGACTGCATGCTTAAGGCTTGGTTAATGCGGAAGAGGTGGGAATACTCACTCTTTACCCCACTGCATGAAACTTGCTGAGACACTAACTAACGTTGGACACACCACTGAGTGGACCGAGGCAGAGGGATTTGAGAAACTTGCATCATTGTTTCAACTGCCGCTCCAGGAGATGGAATCTAACCGGCGACGTCCGTATTGCAAATCGTGCTCGCCACTACAGCACGGAAACTGCCTTCGTTTCATAGTTAAAAAGTTCAAATGTTCGACATTTATATGCATGCAGCAAACTGGTAACCATATTTTCAACACTGTTACCGACCATGCAGAAAACCAATTGTAACGGTGTGTATCAACTAACCCTATACACGATGTTCTTGCGTTCATGCCTGGCCAGTGGCTGTTTGCGCCATGTTCAAGTCACCTCTGTGCTGTGCCCTGCTTTAGGCTATGATCGCCTGCCGAGGGATTGAAGACTGTGAGCGGAGGCTGCAGGCCTACATCGGCATGCTGGTGGAGGCCCTCGCTGTCTTCCGGTACCCACCCCACCCACCCCTGTACAAAAGTGTACTTTGTTTTTGTTTGCTGCGAATGACAAGCTGGTATCGCGTGTGGGACATAACGTGGGGAACTAATATTATCCATTGACTCGGTAGGTTATTTAGTATGCAGTATCGTATTTATTTGTGTCGAGTAAGGATCCATACCCAACGGAAAGGGTCTTTGCCTATAATCCCGTTAACCAGCATTGGTTCAAGTGGGCCTTGCTCCACTGATGTTACATTTAAAAGTCAGAACCAGTCCAGAGTTTACTTGTGTTGAACCAATGCTGTTTAAATGATGCACTCCCAGAACACCTCATGGCTACGATCTGTAAATATTTCTTTCTTTTTGTGGAGGGACAGATACTTGAAGTTGGCTAATTCATTTTCTTGTATAACCTCCCGCGACGACGCCTCCATGCTTGTTTTGCGTCGTTATTCACGCGCTCAGGAGGGGCGTACGGGACCTGTACTCCCAGCCGCGCCTGCAGCAGCCAGTGTGGCTCACCCTGTCGCAGGAGTGGAGTGACCGCCAAGCCGTGTGCCACAGGTTCATGTCGGAGCTCTCGGCCCTCGCCAGCGACTCCGGCAGACTCAGGTATGGCAAGTGTACACGTACAGCCCCCTTTGGGTCAGTACACTGCTGGATGAGGGCCATTCCACGCTATACTGGTCATGGACCTTGTTTCACCATGGGGAAGGGGAGGGAGCAAAGGTGAAGGTGCCGATCAAAGTCACGGTGGCATAGAAGTCCAGTACAACAAGTGATGATGGTGCTGCTGCACTGGAGGCATTACGGTTAATTCCGTCAAATGCTTAGATGACCCTTGTAAGCTGCTGTAAATGCTAAATTGTAAGTTGCAAGTGTAGTGACTGTGCTTGTCACTGTATGGTGCCGGGGCTTGCGAAGCCACGGCCGGTAATGTGTTGTCATTACGGGCAGCCCGGGTTACGGGATGTAGTACCAGCCCTAGCAGGGCTTGGGTGAGCGCTTATTAGCGCGGAGGCACCGCGAGCAGTGTGCGGTGCCGGCTCCCGATGAGGGAGCGTCAGCCAGCCAGGATTACCTTGGGGCATGATACGCTGGTTGACCTGCTGTCATGTGACCGGACTATATTGGAGGGGGGCCACCAGTGGATGGGGGCCGTGGGGCGGTCACGTGGGGCGGTCACGTGGTCCAAAGGAGCTCTCGGGGGCCTTCGAGAAGGAGCTCGAGAGACCTGGAAGGTGGGCGGGGCGAAGGGCAGAGCCAGCCCCAGCCTGGGGGCATATAACGAGGGCCCTGTGAGGAGCTCGGGGTTCTTCGTGTGCTGGTGTTACGAAGATCCACGGCGGGGAGAAGAAGCCTCTTGCCACGCGGTCCGGGACCCAGCTTGTGGTCCGGACCGGGATGGCGAACCATGTCTAGTTCTGCCATAGCGTGGCTAGATGGCATTCGAGGTGTAGATCGTGCTGTGTTGTTTGTTATGGTGTAATAAATAGTGTGCGCATGTGCGCAGTAGTATCGCGGTTATTGCGTTGCGCTATGAAACTGGCGACCCGAGTTCGATTCCTACTCAAGGGTCCACACCAGTGACGATTACTTGAACCGATCATGTGCCTCCCCGAGGTCAACTCGGCCTCAAATGAGTACCTGGTGCGGTGTGTAAACATCCCCACTGGGGAGACGAAAGCGGCCAGGCGTGGTGTTGGCCACCCACCCATTTGTGTGCTGTGCCGGCCTTCATAGTTGCCCGCTAACAGCACTTGCCACAAAAGTCTGTGAAAGCTATACATGGGATATTCGTTCGTGTGTGTGTGTGTGTGTGTGCGTGCGTGCATGCGGGTGCGTGTGAAGGTTTATTCAGGCCCTGCTGACGGCCGTGCTGACTCACCACGTGGGTTGGGTGGCCACGCTGACCCCCGGCGGTCACCCCCTTGCCCGCACCGCCCAAGCCTTGTCTTGGTCTGCCACCACGGTGCCGCCGCACAACCTCAACCCTATCCAGGCCCAGCTGTGTGAGCGCTCGAGGAGCAACGCCAATACGGTCACGCAAACACACACACAGCGCGTGCTGTCACCGGGAACCCACGCTGCGCGTGTGCACACGGGAATACGTGCAGTGGTTGCTCCCATAGCACGCACGTGTGTGTACGTGCCTTTGCTTTGGCCCAGTGGAGAGCAGTGGTGGTGCACCTTTCGGTCAATCCATAGCACCTGGGTCTGTCTCGTTATGTTCCGCCAGCAAGCATCGACATGATGATGTCAGGTGGCTTCGGTCAACCTCGCCTGGCACGAGCGCTGTCGAAATTTCCACCGCCACTTGGTGGCTAATGGCAACGCTGCACTTCAAACTTAACCACCGGAGTTCGATTGCCGTTCATGGCTAACATCGGTGGCAAACTGTTTCTGGGCCTCGTCAGGCTTTTATATGAATACTTGGTGTGGTATGTAAACAGCAGTCCAGGGCGGGTTGGGGGGGCGGGGGGAGACAAAGGCAGCCCGCAGTGATTCTGGTAACGCCACTCCCTCGTGCTCCGTGGCGCGCTCTTCACAGGTGCTCGTGAACGGCTCTTGCCCCGACAGTGTGTAGGCTATTCGAGTGAATCTTTTGTGTTTTTTTTGTGTGTGGCGCGTTCGCAGGCTCGCTGCAGGGCTGCGTGGGCGACACGCCGTGGCTCGCGCGCACCGTGGTGCTGGGCCGCGACCGCGCGGCCGTCGCTCGCGTCCTGCGCGTGCTCAGCCACTTCATCCGCTGCCCCCCGCTGCAGGAGCGGGACACCGAGGGGCCCCAGGGCCCCACAGAGCATCCCGATGCGGTGGAGATGCCGGAGGCCGAAGGGGCGGGCTACAGACTCTTCACGTCCCTCGTGAGTGGGGAGGTGGAGATGTCAGACTACGTGGTGGTGAGCGTGGTGAAGAGCGGCGAATCGCAGGAGCAGAGCGACGTGACGCAGCCCAGCGAGCTCCCTACGCAGAGCGGGATCCAGCTCCGCGGCACGGCTGGGGACAAACCAGCGCACGCATCCACCGCCGGTGGCCTGCTTTCCTACTTGGCTACGTCAGCCTTCGCCTTGCGGTGCAAAGTGAATGCGAAGGGCGGCGGAGCAGACCGAGCGGGAGAGGGTCGTATCGGCAGCGAGACACCCGCTCCGTGTGCGGTGAAGCCGGAAGTGCAGCTGCTACCGATGAAGGAAAGTGTTGCAGCTCTCGGAAGGGCGGCTGTAGCACGGCAAAGCCGCGTGCCAGGCATGTCCAAAATAAAACGTTTGTCTCCTGTGGGGGAGCTCAGCCCTGAGAGGAAAGGTACTATTGGGGGCGCAGACGTGAGCTTTAATGAGGAAGTTTTAACGTCCGATTGTCACAAGATTGGCCCTTCCGAAGCCGCCCACGAACCCGAGCCGCTTTCCTCCTCTGATGCGACTGACCACGAACTCGTCTCCAGTTGCAAAACACAGGAAGACTCTGCCGATCTGGGTAAAGACCTGGGTGGGCAACTGGCAGCCCAGGACGATTCACAAACACCGGGGCCAGCGATGGACATGAGGAGCAGCGCTCCGGACGCGAGACAACCATGCCATGCGGACACCGGCGTTGATGTTGCAGCCAGGACCGGTGACGGTGGACACGGCAGTGTGACGGAGCGTGCTGGTGCTTCATCGGCAGAGACCAAGTCGCCACTGCACAGGGCCTTCCCTGCGAGCGACTGTGAAATCCCTCTGCCTCGGTAAGCTGTCCATGGGGGGAGGAGGGGGGGGCGGAACTCAAAAGTGTTTTTGTTTTAGTCGGGCCCTGGTGCGGATGTTTGACAATTCCTTTTTGAGCATTTTGCTTTTGTACAGAAATAAAGGACGTGAAGAAAACCCACTCGTGCCAGGGAATGATAACATAAAAAAAAATTGACAGGTCCACTCCAGATTTTCTGCACTACCGTTTATCGGCCACCTCGTGGGCCGGCGTGCTTGGTACGCTCATGCCAATCGTGATGTTTACTTAACCCAACAACCTCGCCTCTAAATCGGTGTATTAATGAACATGTCGCCAAAATGTTAAATAACGATTATTTAACAAGTCATTTTTATTCACCACGGTTTCCTTCGTGCGTGTCAAGCGTGACGTTACGTTTCGAGCCCGTTTGGGGATGCCGCATTCGTGTAATGGCTCTGGACTACTTCCAGAGGTCACCAGTTTTGTCTGCCGACGCGGCAGTTATAACAATAGAAACGTTTCTTGAATCCCCCCCCACACCCCACATCTGTCCACCCAGCACTATCAGTGGGTACACCACAGCTCGTCGTAATAAAGGTTTTCTTGGGTGAAATCGCATACATATATTAATGTGACATTAACCCACGACCAGCCGGCACACCGGTGTGCTAAAGTAGTAACCAATTTCGATTTAAAGCTTCCGTGACTGCAGGGATTCTTTTCTTGGTTCTTTCGGTAAAGTCGCGTAGAAGAGAAACAATAAAATAATCAAAATATTAAATAATAAAATTATCACGACGTTTCGATTGCAACACAAGCAATCATCAGGTGTGACTTTACCGAAAGAACCAAGAATAGTAACTAATTGGCACATTTTGTTTACATGACAATCCTTACTAATTGGCTGTGTAAAAAAAACAAAAACTTTATTATTAATAATATTGGTCACGAAAGCCGACGTGTTTATACACAGCTAGTTTATTGGCAGGGCGCGAGGTGGGGTAAAGTGTGGGTACCTCCCCCCACCTTAACACGCATCTGGTCAGTGCGGCGCAGTAGGCCTACATGGAACCTCTTGCTGCATTTAATTTGTATTTCGTGTGGCCCAGCAGCCGGTTGTACGAGACAACTGAAGCGACGTTATCCTCCTCGTTTCGCACACGGAGAGGTTGCCACCTGTCTTTGTATTGGAATCTTTGTTCGTGCGGCAGGACTTTTATTTTTTGTACCAACATTAGGTACCAGGTATTTTGAGCTTCATTATAGAAAACTTGCACAGTTTTGATTTGTAGACTTCGGCCAAGCTGAGAGACATCTGAGTTTTGTCCTTTTGAAAAGGTGATAGGCCCATATTATTGATTTATACAGCTTTTAAAGAAACTTGGAGAATTTACGTCCAAGGTGTTTTTTTTTTCCTGTCCAACCAGCCACAGGTGTGATGTATGTGCAGTATTTAGGAATAAGCCTTGCATGCGAGGTTCAGCTTTAGCTACTCGGGGCCTGCATGCCACAAATTTCTGTTAATAACCCCAGGGTTCCATTTTTCATTTCTATGGAGTAAATCCTTATAATTAAAATTGTATTGAGAACTCAAGGCTTAATCAAATTTTAGATGCCCTAACAAAATAATAGAAAACAACACAAGTGTGAAACAGCACTGCTTACGCATTGATGATGATAATACCGATTATCAGTCAGATTTTATAACACGTGCAAACTTTTGAGCAGCGAGTCGCTAACACGAGGTTGGGGAAATGCCAAGTTAAAGCACAAACGTCTAGCACTAATGAGTTGAAGATGGTTATTAATTTTCATGGGAAGAGACATTAAGTATTGTATTGAAGTTTTTTTGCTAAAAGCATAAATATCTGCAGCAGATGCTTGAAGGCAAGGGTTATTTTTGCCCTAAACATTTGGTATTCCTCAAATTGAGTACTTTTTTTTTTTCGGTTGTATTTAATGACTTGAATCCCTTTCCGGCCCTTTAATCCATACTGTGCTCGTGTTAAGACTGATGTGCTATGCCACAGACCGCACCTTCAAGGGAAATGGAAATGTTGCTGATGAAGGGAGATGCGTTATTAAATGTTAATTGCGGTTCAGCTAATCGAGACCTTAATTGGGATGTGAATTTCCCTGGCTAGTTGTAACACCCTTGTGGTTCTTGGAAAAAAAATTCAAAATGTGCTGATTGCATCGGTAAAGTGTGCCAGAGATTACATGCTACCTTGCAATTTTCTTTTCAAGACGCCGAGAACAGGAGAAAGGCAGAGCTGTTCCATTGGGCCATTCGAGTGTGAATAAGAACTTATTTTGCACCGTACGTAGCCAACCATGCTAATAAGAGGTGTGGGGGAAGTACGGCAAACTAAAACACAAACCAGTCCTCAAAATAATTAGTTTTCAGTCCAGATTTAAAAGTGCATAGCTTCGAATATCAGAAGGAAGAGCGTTTCAGACGGTCACAGAAGTGCATCTGAAAACGCACGATGCAGTGGCCGTCTTTGTTTAATGGCTAGCCAAAAGCCGCTGCCGTTAGGATGACCGGAGTTTTGCGTGATGGTTTATGCTCTTTGACGAGATCAGAGAGGTTTTGTGCTTCGTTTGCGGCAAGCGCTTCGTGTTTTAATGAGCGCGCTGTAGCTTAACCCTGCAGACACGGCAAGGAGGCTGCTCGCAGTCTGCACAGCGCGTCATTTAACCGACCAGCGGCGCTTTGATCCATTCCTCAGAGAAACTAACGAGGTGCCCCCCCCCCCGCTACCCAGGAATCAAACCGTCGGCGTCATGGCGAAGAGCGGCAACCGCCCGGCCACTCGGCCTGCACATTGACATTCGTTTTACACGGCTTTATGGAAAGCAAATTTTGTAGAATCGTAATGGCCCCGACTTTCCCATTTTGTCAGTTGCAAATTAAGGTCATATCCCTCTGTTGGCATGCGTCTCGCTTGACCTTGAAGCCGTCCATCCGTTTAGCTGCATTGGCACGCTCGGCTCCCACTTGGAAATCTGGGAGTTCAAATCTCGATTGCAGACAAATTGGCCCATCATCCTTCCATAAGGTGGTAATAATTTTACGTAACTCGGAGGTGTCAATACTGTATTGGTGACTGCCACCTTCTGGGACATGTAAGGATGGTGGTTCTGAAGGTATACTGGGCCCTTATCATACGAATGTGGAATTTATGCGACTGGCTTGGGATGCCCAGGAGTATTGCCTCGATGCTCATTTAGCAGGAAAAAATCTATTTTAAACTGCATGCCACCTGTTCGCATCTTTAGTACTCTATACTTTATTATGTCTGCCTAATTATTTTTAACACTGTTGTTGCTCTCATGTTACGATGGAGCTAATAGAAACACCGTTGCATTTTGACGTTGTTTAAAACGCATTCCCGTTTTCGACGCTGTTATGGGCTTTGTAAATCTGAAAACCAAAGTTTCGTCTGCAGCAGCGTTACCGTTACGACGTTGCTGCTTCAGATGATTTCTCAGAATGCCTGTACATAATTGATCAGTCGGGCAGAACGGGCATCGCATCCGTTACCCACCATCGTCTGGATTGGTGGTGCCTGGAGGTACGTAAGAGCTGCTCTGCTGCAATCGAGGGAAGAGCAACGTCATGCGTGCAGAGTTGTGAACGGCAGACGTGGTTGTCTTGCGAGAGGGCTCGCCGCGGACACGACTGCAGGGCAGTCGGGGGACAGTGGTGCCCCAGCCATTCGTGCCCCACTGACTCGCTGTCAACCCTCGAACGATAATCGTGGACAACAATGCACCATTTACACTGAGTCCTCCTTTACCAGTGGCTAAATATAGTGATAGGTTTTTACCCTTTCGACTGGTACAAAAACTGACACCTTTATACAAAGCATCATGTTTGCAATAACCACAACACATGCAGTCAAAATGCAAACAAAAAGAAACAACTCTGATAATGATATGCACTGTCCTTGAAGTTGATTGGTCCACACCCGAGACAGCTTTTCTTAGAGCCTAGTCTCCATTGGTGTTGGACCAGATGACGCCAAAAGGCGTATCAACTTCAAGGACAGTGCATATCATTATCAGAGTTGTTTCTTTTTGTTTGCATTTTGACTGCTTGTGTTGTGGTTATTGCAAACATGATGCCTTGTATAAAGGTGTCAGGTTTTTACCCTTTCAACTGGTACAAAAACTATTACAACAGTGCACCAGTCACGTATTCTTCAAAGTTTAAACGTCTCTAAATATCAGCAGTACTGTGGGCCACATCCTGCACGGCCTTGCGGACGCCACCAGCGCTCCGCAGGACGCAGCGTGATAACTTTTGTATTGGAGGGGGGGGGATTAAGAAAGGTACATATTCAAATACCTTCATTGTGATAACGATTTCTTATATTTCAATGCTTTGGGATTTTCTACACCACCAAAAGTATTTGTTCAGTATTGAAGGTAGCCGTGGTTATGGCCTTCTTTAATATCAAGGTATTGTCCATTGTTGAACAACACCGCATTGTTGGTCAACATGTGAGCTATGGCCGGTGTGTGTATATATGTTGAACTTCTTTCGCCCCGTACATCGCCTACCATACTAATCGGGTGTGTGGGCGATGCCTTGCGGCGCAGTACAACGTGCACCACACGTGCAACGGATGCACGTCGCGTCGAAGTAAATAACCACCCTGTCAGTGTGTGCAGTGTGGCTGTCGTTAAGAGCACTTGTGGATACACCATTCATTGTCTCCCCTGTCAACGAGTCAATTACTAGCACAATGCACATTACGCTCGTTTTAGGTTGGTAATGTCTATTTCAAGAGTTCAGGCAGAGAAATGATTTGGACCATGCGAGTGTGGTGGGCATAGTGGTTTAAAATAGAGGGGGGGTGAGTGCGATTGTCTGCAAGTGCATACGCGTGTGTGTATGTACATGTGATGTGTGTTTGTTGCATACTCGTCTGTTTGTGCATCTGGTTTTGAGCACGAGTCTGCATGTGTTTTACTTGGACTTGTATCTATTTATTTGCATTGGCGTGTGTCCTCGTTAATTTTTTTTTATTTTCATCCATCTGTTTGCATAGGTGTGCATCCTTCTGTGCGTGCATTTTATTCACATGTGCCTGTGTGTCAGATGTGTTTTATGGGGAGCAGTGGGACAGTGATGAGCACACTGCGCTACTAAACAGGCGATCAGAGTCATTCCCGAACACAGCCAACATCGGTAATGAACAACTAAATAGTTCCTGTGCCTCCCCGAGTGAGGGCCAATCAGCCGTCAATGAGTAACTGTTGCAGTGTGTGAACATCGGCGATGGGGAGACGAAGGCGGCCGGGTGTGGCGCTGACCACACCACGCTCTCGTACTCCGTGCTCGCAAACAGCGCTTGCCCCAACAGTCCAAGGCTATACGGGGGAATTTTTGTCTCTTTGGGTAAGGTGTGAGATGCGGCAGGTGTGGCACAGGGCCGGGCCGGGCCTGGCTCCCTCTCTGCTGGGCGGCTGCTGCTCGCGCTTCGTGCCGGAGTTCGTGCTGCAGGGCCTGAGCTGCCCGCGCGACGCGGCCGTCGAGCAGATCCGCCGCGGCCTGCAGCAAGCCCTCTCCGTAAGCCTCTCCGTGTGGCACGGTGTCACAACCACACCTTTTTAGAGGTCGGCGTGTCGGGCTCGCAAATGTTTCCCAGCGGTTACCGGCAAGATGATGATGATCCATCGGCCTGAGCCGGGTCTGCGATGAATGTTCACACAAACAACGTTTAAACTACCTATAGTGATGCGACGTTCCCGACCTGGTGCCGTGTGGCTCCGCGCTGTGTCTCTCCGCGCCCGCCACAGGCTTGCGCACCAGACCGGCCGCTACAGCGGACGCTGTGCCTGCTCGCCGACCTGGACCAGCGCACCGTGCGGCTCCTCGCCGCGCAGCCCCTCTTCCCCCCTCAAGACGAGGCCTCCACGGCCGGGCCGCCCTCCGTGGCCGGCCAGGAGGGGCGGCCGCTGCCGTCGCCGACGTCTTTGCCACGCGTGCAGAAAGAGCGGCGCCTGGTGGAGAGCGACGACGTGCGGCCGTCCGGCCTCGTGCGCGACCTCCTCCACTCGACGTTGCAGCTGTGGAAGATGCGGCTCTCCGCGGACTTTGTGAGCGCTTGGTGCAGGGTGTTGGGGCTGTGTGAGGCTGGGGCTGTCCCTCAGGTGAATCGCAGAGTTATGGAATTGGTACGATTGTACCAACGATTGGTTGACAAGGCCACGGAGCTATGCAATTCATTTCACAGGAAAGATTCAACCTTACGTCAGTGAGTGCGTTCGCGGTGTCAACATCTGGCAGTTTGCCAGCATTGGTTTGAGCAAGACTGGCTGCTGAAGAGACGCTGAACAATTCTCACAATGCTGCTGAAAGTATGCACTCTGAGAGAGTCTGTGTAGCTGATGGGATGTGTAACAAAAAATAGGCATGGAGGGATGGGAAAGGAGGCATTAATGGCTGCTGGTTTATTTTCAACTCGTGAATAAGCCCCCCCCAGGTGTGCTCCACTCTCACTGTGCCAGGTGTTGGCATCGAGCTGCGCGCTCACTTAACCGGGAGCTCGAGACATTTGGTATCCAGAAGCCATCCACTCTGCATTATTATTAATCCCATGCGTAACGTTGAGGCTTTCCTGGATGACGGTAACCCGCCGCGCGCTCGTCCCCCCCGCAGTGCATGATGCACCTGGAGGACCGGCTGCGGGAGCTGTGCCGTCGGAGTGAGGCCCTGGCCCTCTGCGCCAGCCCGGACACCCCCGGCCTGGAAGCCATCACTGCTGCTCTCGGGTAAGACTGTCCCACCCCCCCCCCCCCCAACCCCCCCCCCCGGCTGTGATCCTCCGCACGCTCGGAGCCGCACAGGAGTCGAGGCCTAAACGGGTCGTCGTGATGATGCACATTTACTCTCGCGCGATCGCATCTGCGGGGTGGAGCATCCGGATCCCCCCCCCCCCCCCACCACCTCGCTGCATCGGATAGAACTCGGAGTAGAGCAGCGGCTGGCTGGTGATTGAGCGATCTGGCATTGGCTGCTTTGCTCCATTACTCGCTCGCTACTGGTCAGTCGCCTCATCACTCTCCTGTCGCTAATACCATGGTCACTCTTCTCGTGAGCTTGACTCATTGTATCCTCCACACATTCTTGAACTGTAACTGTTTTGCCTCATCCACACTGTTCAATGACCACACTGCAGGTCGTAACAACGCACTCGCCCACTCTCTCACCCACCATCTCACTCAACCACTTGCCCACTCACCACACTTCAGTTCACAACACTTTTCTTTCTGCTTCTTCCCTTACACTGCTCGACTTTGGAAATTCTCCCCCCTCATCACCATCTGTTGCTGGCTTTTTAACGTTTTGGGCCTTTGGGCCCTGTGCTCAATAACTGTTAAAAACAAAACGAAAAGCCACTGCTGCCAATGTCCGGATTATGAAATGGCGATAACTCATTTCCTTTTGCCATTCCCCCTCCCCCGCACTGTGGCACCTGGTGAAATTTGAATGATTACACCAGCAATCGTATGAAAAGGCCACATTCTCTGACTCTGTCCGAGGTAGATTAATTCTGGCATTTAAAAAGTATCAAGGCCGCCAGCAGTCACCGGTACTTCATTGTGTAACACTGGGGCCCGATTATTCAATACCCAGACATAATTTTGTGAATCATGGACCAGCATAGAGACAGACGTGCAAACAGCCTGTTGCAGTGAATGCTCACAAGAAATTCACTAAAGTACGCACAGGAAATATTCATCTCAACTTTTGATCCAATAACTCAGTGGTAGAAGTAAGTGGTGGCCATGGTGGTGGTGAGTGTGCCAGGTGAAAGGAGTGCGGTGGTTGTTGTGACCGTGGTGGTGAGCATCTGTGGGGAGGGATGGTGGTAGCGGTTAGCACGCTGCACTACGAACCCAGTGACCCGAGTTCAGCCAACACCAGTGGCGATTATTTTAACTGGTTCTGGGCCTCCCCTAGATCAACACTGCCTCCAAAAAGTACCTGGTGTGGTGTGGTGCCACTCGCCCTCTCGTGTGCCGTGCCAGCCTTCATAGGTGCTCGCTAGCAGCACCTATGCCCCAACAGTCTGTTAAGGCAACACGAGGGGTGGGGGGGGGGCAGATCTTTGTCTTGAGCATCATGTGTCCCCACCACAGGGGCGACTCGAGTGACGTGGGACTGCTGGCAGCCGTGGCGACGGCCCTCCCCGAGCCTCCGTTCCTCACGTGACTCCTGGGCAACCCTGCTGCCCGGCCACGTGCTCTCGCTTGCACTACAGCGTCCCAGGTGCAGCGACCCGGTGCTGGCTGCTTGCCACTTCTGGTCCGGATCGCAGCCTGGTTAAGGCTTTGACGAATTCTCGTTACATTCCGAAAACGTTAACGTATGGTACCTTTTGTCTTGGGTGTTTGTGCCGTGGTGAGTCTTAATCTCGGTTGTCGCCACATGGTTCGTGCTGCTTCGAACAGGCAGTCGTGTCGTCCAGAAACCGCTCTTTGGACAAAGAAGTGTTAACCCGATTGATATGAAACCCAAAGTAACGCATTACAGCTCCGAGCATTAGCACGAGGGTTGAGGTTTCCAGATGCAGTATCTAATGAGCTGCCTAATGTTATTGTTTCGCTTGTTCACTTGTTTGCTGCAAGGAGGCATCCCCTTCAGCAGTGAGGATCAACGCCAAGTCACTTTCAGTCTCTTTGGAGCAATACCGCCTTGAGCAACGCCTCCACTTAAAATATCCGAACGTATGCCGCGAAGCCTTCACAGGGCGAAATCCCGCTGTCTGATCTGATGCATTTTGTAGCTCCTAAACTTCTGGTTCGTAGACGCTCTGCAATTTCACAAATGTCGGCCGTCGAAATGTTCTGTTTTTAGTTTTAATCTTAATGTTAGAAACCCCCCCCCCCCCCCCCCCCCCACCATACACTGCACCGTGACTCGTGCGTAGGAGTTGAAGCGCCGTTTTTTTACTGCAGCGAGCGGTGGGCTCTCCTCAGAACCCCTTATGGGTGAGTGCCCCGCGACTTGGGAGCTCGCTGTCAAACCCCCGCACCCACGCGTCCCCTGCTCTGCCAAGCCACGATGCCCTTGGCCGCTTTCGGCCTTTTTCGTGTTGCTCCGCTCACTACCTTCGATTTTTTTTTTGTCTGACGAAGGGGCTGGGAGGAACTGCTGGCTGGGAGGAACTGTTTTTGGCCAAGCGTAGAAATACCCTGCAGCTCCCGTGTGGAGCCCATTCCATTCCGCAGTTCAGTTAACGACCCCCGCCTAGGCCTCCGCCCCCGTGACTCTGATGCCGCTATCGGTTTCATGCCCAATCACCACGGGCGCGTCGTCACTCGCTCGCGGTAGAGACGATTCCATCCAACCTCGGTGAGACCATCGTAGCGAATACTGCATCCATAGTTGTGCACAAGGTTCAAAAAGCATACAGACATTTTAAAGAATCTTCTACAAACTCCACAATTCAACCTTGTTTTTTAAGCTTGATAGACTTCAATTCTAACTGTGTGAGAGTCCACCGAGACGACAAATTCTCTGGAGAACTCTTATTCCTAAACCATGGAATGCCGAACAAAGTCAAGAAATATTTTTAAAATCTTAATTCCCCACCCCGAGGTTGTATTATAATGCTGTGCAAATGCGAGGAATGTTCTCCAATGTGAATGCAATACCTCTGCAAGTAACTCATCACTCCTCCTTCCCCAAATAAACCGCTTGGGGTTTGGTAGGATTTACTGTGGAAATTAAAACGCCGCTCGCCCGGCCGTAGCAGCAGCCGTAGCAGCAGCAGCAGCGCATGACTGGGCCCAGTCGCGGGGGGCTTATTCGTGCATTGTCTTGACAGCGACAGCCTTGGTTTACGCTCTCGTGCGTGTGTGTTGGCGCCACGGATTTGCTTTTTCAGTAAAGACTTAAATAAGAAATAACTTGTCAACTCTGCATCAAAACACTACATCCTGCCAAAAGATAAATAATTAAACATTCATTCTTACTTTGGACGTTCGCTGACTTGCCACAGCCAAGGGAACGCATTCCAATGCCGCCGCGCGTGTGTGTCAAATTGCACCTCTGCGCAGCCGTCGATCATTGCAGGTTTTTGTGCCTCGGGCCAGTGGGGAACTCTTGCCACTTCTTTGTAGAGCTGCCCGTGAGGATTTCCACAGACTCTTTGGTGTTTATTAGAGTCCCCCGTCAGGTTACCTGTATACCCACGTGGCGTATTGACAAGAACGAGCTGTCGAGTTCCAGCCTCGTGTAATGGCCCTGCGTGTTCCCAAGGCTTCCCTTGGAAGGCGACATTGCCTCTGAACGCTCCTTGCCGGCTGCCGTTGTGCGCGCTCGCTCTGCGGGTGGAGAAGTCTCGCGGCTACGTTCAGGCACAAAGGAAACATGGGGCTCCTGGAGTCTCCAATTGAAATATTCTTTGTTTTATAGCCTCGGGAATTCTCGGAACTGATCGTATAACAAGCTCTGCTTCGCTTATCCTTCGACTATCATGATCTAATTGAGAAGAGAAATACCACATTTCTATGGTTTCTTCAAAGCTTGTCTTTGATCTAACTTCCAGCAATAAAAAAACTGGCGGTACTGAGAGCTTTGCTCCACTCGGCTGATGCAGAATTAACCTCCGCTGCAACAAAGCCACGGCTGGCGACGGCAACATGACGTCGTCTGGGAATGTGAACGATCGCGCCTTTGCTCGCGCGCTCGTTTGTGTCGTTTGGTTAACAGCGCTTGGCCCAGACGCTGAGGGGCACAACCTTCGCAAGGGTAAATCGACAACATTTGGCTGCCCAACCCTTTTCGTATTTTTCACCCCTGTTTTCTGGACCACTAGAAAATGAGCCGACTCTGGTGTCGTGGATGAGCGAGCCCAGCCAGGCTTCCTTCCCTCTGGCCCTGATTGGGCCATCCTGGGCTTGCCTGCAGGGCGCCACTTGCGCCCTTCGATTTTAAATTTAAGGGCCGCGTGTTTCTTGTGCAGATGTAACAACACAGTGCGCGATGTTGCATTGGTGATCACGATCGTCCATTGGTTCAGAAAATGGCCATGACCGATTTAATTGCATGAACATTTACGTGGTCAACGAGTACCACAGCTCCACCGTCTTCTCGTTTTGCATTGCCTTTGACGGGCGACCTGTCAGAGTTTCAGTTGTCGGCGATTTAGCCATCCAATGGGTTCGTTCACCCGAACATCTCCATCTGATACGTGAACACGGTCATCGCCAAGGGTTCTGGTGGCAGCAATATCCGCCGCCTCTGTTTGGCGAGGCCGGTTTGTGGTAACAACCTGTGCAGAATTACATTTGCCAGGAAGCGCTTGACGCCTGGGGCAGTCATCGCAGTGTTGTTTATCTGCGTTGCCAGCCGTTGGGTTATCTCCCTCCCTTTGTTTACGTGACTTATTTTTGTTTACATTGTTTGCTGCTATGTTATGAACCAACGTTGCCATATGACTTTACCGTAAGAACCAAGAAGATGAATCCCTGCAGTCACGAAAGCTTTAAATCGAAATTTAACGTTGCCATAGTTCTCCACGGTGTCTTAAACTGCAAGCCTAATGATTTCAAAGCAAGCTCGGGGTTTACACAATTTCGAAATTAATTCTTGAGCCTAAAAATTACCACGTTTTATATTTATTTAATAAAAATGTCCCTGTCACTTTCATCTATAAGTAGCTCACAGGGATGTGTGTGGAGGGAGGGCTTTGATTGTGGGGGGGGCGGGGGGGAACGACCTTCACGACGGTCCTGGACGAGCTCCCGCCGCCCGGCACCGTCGCCTCCTACCAAAGGCCACAGTAGCAGCGCCACAGCCACCCAGACGCTGCAGAGACGTCAGCTCTGCTGCCCACCTTGCATGGTTCCCTCCGAGGGTGGAGGACCGTCCCGCTGCGGTCGACGGTTCAACGGAGGGGGGGGGGGGCAGCAGGCCACTGCACGCTGGTTTACGTCGTGTTACAATGGAGCAAAGCGTGCAGATTCGACTTCGTTGTTTTGAAGGACAATGACTGATTTGAACACTAACATTCGTCAACTAAAAGCCCAATTTTAATGTTTTACCTTTTATACTAAAAGTACAATATTTCAGATCTATATGCTCCGTCAGAAATAAGGGTGAACAAATGCGTGATATTACCTTGTTTTTGTAATGGACACAATTGTACAGCATTAACGAAAGTTTCACATTCGGTGTGCATGAAGGAGTGATGGTTCAGCAGTTCACTCGCTGCGTTTAGCATCGTGGCCTCCTGGGTGCAACTCTTGGCCAGGATGCACATCACCAGTTGTGAATGAATTCTGACCGTAGCCTGAACCAGTGATGTACTCCTCATTTGGAGCATTGAGGAGGCGCTCCCCCCCCCCCCCCCCGGTTTACAGCCCTGAACCATTGGTGGAAATTCCACATTCCTATGGCAGGGAGCGAGTCTGCACATAGGACAAGCACCGTTGACTTCCTCGCAGAGTGGTACTCGTGTTATCGACCCCAGAGAGATGATGGGCCCAGCCGCTCGCTCTGCCGCTGAGCCGCTATGGATCAGCTCCGTCCAAAACAAGTGCCGATAGTGAACCTAAGTTGGTGATCGTTAGCACTGGGAAGACGAAGGAAGGATGGTGTTCGCCATTTCGCTGCCTCGTGCCCTATACCGTCTTCAGTGGATGCTCTCTAATGGCACTGGCGCGCGCTGTAAACGTTAAACCGTGGCGGTGATCATCTTGTGTGCACATTGTGCTGTGTCCATGAATGTAGAACACCAAACGGACACGCAACAAATGGAGAGCGTTCTTTGCAGTGCCTGAATTTAAGACGTAAATAGCCCCTCCCTCCCTTTGCGAAAATTAATGCGCCGGTTTCAACAATTGTTAGGCCCTGGGGCGCTATCCTGTCGAGCTGTGTGTGTGGTGGCAACCGAGAGTTGTGGCGTTTGAAGTTGTTTCCTCACGTCTGCAATATTACATACCTTGAATGGGTGCTGCTGAAGTTTGCGGTTATACCCCAAATGCCCTGGGCCTGTATTTTTTATTATTAATTTAATCACGAACGAGTCTTATCCAATGCGGTGCTCGTGTTTTGTGATTTTTGCTGGTAAATTATACTTTGATTTAATAATTGCTGTGTGCCAAATTGCACTTAACTGTCTCGAATAAGCCACTCTCCCTCCTGTGGTCCAGTTGGGTGTATTTTTAGGAGCCAGAACAACAGCTTTGGACGTTTTTTTAAGTAGACTTGCAGTATTTTCACCTCAGTTGGAGCAGTGCAGTTGAACAGAGTAATTTCGCAGTTGGTACAATTTACGTTCCAAAAAATATAGATTGTAAAAGGGAAACCGACTGATGCAAATGCATTAAATACGCGAGTGCTTTTAGTGCCAAGTGCATCTATAGTCATCTCTGTGAAGTGATTTTCTGTCCGTAACAATCAGCCGACCCAAAGTGCTGTCGTTTTTAAAATAATATGTGCAATCCACATGCCGCGTGAATTGATTAACTATAAAGCCTTGGATTTCTCTCGCATTTTCTGTCTGCAGTTCGCTGTGAAAGCACACTCTTGTATGGTTACTCTTTATATTTAAAACTGACCTATCTGTAACTAAAGCATGGTGCTTTATAATGAAATCCTACCATTTAAACGGTTTGTACGGCAAATGTTTTGTCGCAATTCCAGGCTCGTAATTCCCCAGAGACGTTGGGCAGCCACTCGTTTTGAAGTCGTGTTTCGTGAAATCTGTCAAGGCTCTGGCGTCTGCATGCGAAAAGTATCCCCCCCCCCCCCCCCCCAAAAACGGGCAGAAATATTGTCTCTACGATTAACACCAGCGAAGGGAAAATAAATCTCATTTGAAAATGGTGAGGGGGGGGCAAATGTGCGTCGTTACTACGGTGTCGAGGTTTCGGGGAGTAATAGTTCATGCGGTAACAATGCAGACGTGGGAGATCCGAGGTGGGTAAGGGTGCGACGCGCATAATAACATTCATGAACATAATTGCAGTTTCATAGCGTGCAATGGGGGAATGGGCAGGGGTGAAGGGGACCTCTTCCCCGGGGAGAGAGGGGGGGGGGGGTCCCACAAGAACCGCTCCCAAACCTCGCAGGGAGAGCGCCGGCTATGGCCGGGTTGGGTCGGGAGGGCCCAGCAGGGCGAGGTGCCTCTTGCACGGCGGACGAGGCCACACTCGCGCGGTTCGCTTACAGCGGTTTTCTAGCAACCGCAATGCCGGATGTGAGTATCGTGAATTGTTGTTTTTTAATACTGTGTTTTTTGGAATAAAGTACAACGGTTTACATGGCATTTGTGCACGTGTTCCCTTCTTTAACAAAGAAGTTGCGATTCCCGCTGCTGAGACGTTCTCCGTTACTCTTTGGTTCTTTAGGTAAAGTCACTTATAAAGAGAAAATAATAATTAAATACTAGCATATGACGTTTCGATTGCAACACAAGCAATCATCATCAGGTATAAATGAAATGTAATGTAATACAACATAGAGTCGGATAACATAACAGTCAACACCCTACCTGGTTGATTACGTTCTTCCTGAGAATGCTAAATTTGAGAGAGAGAGAGAGATCAAACACATTCTCCTTTGTCAACTTGTGGCTGCAGTCTTTTTGTATTGGACATGCACCACGTTTGCGGTATATTTGCATTCCGAGTAAATCTTTTCCCCATCCCTCCCATGTTCCTACAATGCTTCCTGCCCGTGCATGCCATCGTGCCCCAGTTCCCAATGCACCTGGATCGGCCAAATGATTGGGAGGTGGGGGGAGGGTTTGGTTTTAACGCACAAGGCTCATTTTCCCAACGGATGGAAGCGGTCTCTAGTGTTTTTAAAGCACAGCAGCTCGTGTGTGTCGGGCCTATGGCCAAGCAACCCGATAAATCACCCGATCTCGTCAGATTTCATGAGCTAAGCAGCTTTGAGTCTGGACGAGTGAGTGCATGGGACGCTCACCGCCAGGAAGTGGGATAGAGATACCGTACGCTGCTGCTGCTGCTGCAGGGCTACATCGCCAGCAGAGGGCAGTGCTGCAAGGTCCATTGTTGTACTGTGCTGTGCTCCTCGTCTGTTCACCCCGCACAGACCAGCGTGGCGAAATACGATCAAATAATTCCCTCCAGCAGCGTAGGAAGGCCCTAGATTCCGCATCAAAGAACACATTCCTGCGGAGGGAGCTGGTAGGAACGTTGGGTTGCTCGCTCAATGGCCAGGGTCAACGGCGGCGTGGTGTATTCCACAAATATGCCCGACTGTGAGAGCGGGCACCAGCCGGCGTGAGTAGGTTAAACGTTGAGTTTTATAAGGGCACCACGGGGTGACCAGCCCCTCCCCACCCAGCCCCTCCCTGCACGACGGACACAATAATCTCCTGTGGGCTGGTGTAACCAGGAAGTTCCTACCACGTAGGCTTTCGCGACCAATATTATTCATAATATAGGTTTTTGGGTCAGAACGTGACACATTTTTTACTGTTTGGCCGTATCGGGTGGTGGAGGGGTTACGACACATTTATAAATAACGCGATCTGACCCAAAAACCTATATTATGAGGTTCCTACCAGTAATATCGTATTCTGCAGACCACACAGACCTTCCGGGGCCACGTGACTGGAGAGGAAATCTCCTGGGGGGGGTGAGGTGATGGTCAACTTTAAGGAGAGAGTCTGCCCTGATAAGAGCGGCCAACATGGCCTGGTCAGATCAAGGGTGAGACCCCCCTCACCCCCTTGGCGCACGCTGGCGACCCTAAACTGCACCGTGAAGCCAGTGGCCGCAAGAACAAAATCACTGCCGGCAAACAAAACTTTGAGCAGTGCATAGATGGAGCTGCGAAGAGAGGGCAGCGCACGGAACTGTGGCCCCTTTGTGTTGTCTCTCATTTTCTCCTCCCTCCGTGTGCGGGTGATGGGGAGTAGTGCACGCAAAGGTTGCTGAAGTTCGCCGTCTCTCTTTCTCTCTCTGTGTGCATGAGGATTAGGTTCATGTCGGCCCTGAGAATGGCTGCGAGAAAACTGCAGCTATTTTTTCTTTCGTTTCAATGCAAGATGATTTTGATCGGGTCTGTGGGGGTGGGCTTTGGGGATTACCCCTTCAATGGAAAGCACAAATAAATAAAGAATCGTTTTCTAACGATGGCTGGATCGCGCTTTTTTTTCGTATATCAAGTTTGGTGAAACACATTTGGGACAACGTTGTGGTTGTCTCAAGTGTGTTCCAGGCAGTGTCGGACCACGCGGTTCGCAGTGGTGGCCACGTTTGACCGCGAACCTCGCGCGAGTTCCGCTGTTCGAGGCGGGCGCGCGTCGAGAACGAACGGAGACGGCGCCTCGAGTCGCCGGGGCGAGATCTGAATACACCGGTGGGCTAAAGTGGTGAACTAGTTGTCTTTAGTCGACGTGACCCCGTTTTACTGATTGGCCGTGTCGGGTGGTGGAGGGTTGCGACGCATTTATAAATAACGCCATCTAACCCAAATCATACTGGTCGCGAAAGCCTTCGTGTTCAACAGATCTGAAGAGTCTGCGACGTACCTGTGTGTGCACTGGCGGAGAGGGGGGTGGCACGTGCCCCCCCCCCCTCCCCCCCAATGATCCGATCGAAATCCCCTAATTTCGATCGGAGCATTGGAGTTTATTAGTAATACATTGGCATTTTGCGACCCCCACTGCCACTGTGTAGCATATTATTACGTGCCAGGGACTCGATGAGATGATCGGACAATAGTCTATAATTGGCAATAAGTAACGGCAAAACAGTTAAAAGTGACTCAGAATTGTGCGCAGTTGCATATACAGTACACGACTTCCCTGAAGGCATTCACCTTCAGCGAGCGCGATGCCGATCACACAACGCGGTTCGAATTCGACCCTCGATCGATGGCTGCGCCATCGCCGCACACGCGTCGAATAAAAAGCAAAGGACAAGTCCTTACTAACTAACAACTCCTATTATTTTTATTGCTGGAGGGGTTGCCCCCCTTTAACAATCCTGGCTCTGCCATTGTGTGTGTGTTTGTTGAACTTCTTTCACACCCCGGGTACGTAGCCAAACGTGCTTAATCGGAGGTGCGGGGGAAGGACCACAAACTAAACGAAACAAAAAACAACGCTTCTAAAAAACTTCATTTTAAAGTAAGTTACATCCCGCTGGGGGTCACAGTGCGTATCAAGGCGACGTGTCAAGTTTACTCGTCACAAGTCGGTGGAGTGGGGGTGGTGGGGTGTGCGGTGGTGGGGTGTGCGGTGGAGTGGTGGGGTGTGTGTGGGGGGGGGGTGTGTGTGGGGGGGGTGGTGGGGTGTGTGGTGGTGGAGTGGGGGTGGTGGTGGGGTGTGTGGTGGTGGAGTGGGGGTGGTGGTGGGGTGTGTGGGGTGGTGGGGTGGTGGGGTGTGTAGGGTGGTGGGGTGTGTAGGGTGGTGGGGTTTGTGGGGTGGTGGGGTGTGTGGTGGGGTGTGTGGTGTGTGTGGTGGTGGGGTGTGTGGGGTGGAGTGGGGGTGGTGGTGGGGTGTGCGGTGGTGGAGTAGGGGTGTGCGGTGGAGTGGGGGTGGGTTGTGGGTGGTGGAGTGGGGGTGGGGGTGTGGAGGAGTGGGGGTGGTGGGGTGTGTGGGGTGGAGTGGGGGTGGTGGTGGGGTGTATGGGGTGGAGTGGGTGTGTGATGAAGTGGGGTGTGTGGTGGGGGGCATGGTGGTGGAGTGGTGGGGTGTGTGGTGGTGCTGTGTGAGATTGCTCCATGCACCGTTCTCGCGAGCCTGCGCCCCGGGGTCTGCAGGAGCTCTGAGCTCCGCTGCGCTGTCGGCAGGTGGCGGCCAAGCCGCGACATTCACGGGGCCGCGGGCGGCAATCGCATCCGCAATGATCCCAGCTGCGAGGCGGATTTGACGCCACGCTTCACGTGTTTTTTACTTGGGTCCGGTTCAAACGCAGCGTTGGTGTACGGTGCTTTTATTCTGGAAGACTTTGCAGTTTTTTTCTGGATTTTTCTGTTTGTGCATAGTCACTTTAAGATGTTTTCTTGTTTTTTGTTTGTTGTGGTTGCACCTGATTCAAGAGCCGAATGGCTCACAGTGCTACTATACCTAATACATGAAACTGAAAGCCGTCGGGTTCAATGATGAGTCCGCACTCACTAATTCGCTCCAGTCACAGGCGCACCAATGGTCACTTAGGGGCCGGCCATAAATGACGTCACGCACCTAGGGGGGGGGGGGTCAGACATTTGTGACGATGTGTGGACGAGGGGGGGGGGTCAGGGGCGGTTTCTTCATTAGGGCGATTGGGCGACGCACCACCAATGTCATTGAACCACAGAGTCACGCTAGCCGTCATTGTGCCTCTGGATATAGTCCAATCAGCGTCATGTCACGTTCTGTGGAGTACCGCCTCTTTTTGGGCGATTTCACTCCGGCTGAGAATCGCCCCGAGTGGCCCCATAGACTTACATTCAAAGATGTTTTTTTCGAACGGCGGGCGCTCCAATGCATTCTCTATGGCTTCCGGGAGGGCTCGCCCTAACGTGCTTACGTCATCATACGTGCTAACGTCATCATACGTAAGCACGTTTCATCCAACAATATAATTTATCGCCACCTAGTGGAATCTTCTTCTTGGTTCTTTCGGTAAAGTCACGTAGAAGGGAAGTAATAAAATAATAAAAATAAAACATAATAAAATTATTCTCACGACGTTTCGGCCACAACGCAAGTTATTCTCACGACGTTTCGGCCACAACGTTCCACTCACTGGCATGGTGCAGTGTGCAGAGTAATGTATGGTGTCGTAATTGTATAGTAAATATAAAGCAGTGTGATACACATTAGGTTGGGTAGAATAATACATAGTGTTATATTAAAATGGATAAGGCAGCAACTGCAGCAGCAGCAGCAACTGCAGCAGCAGCAACTGCAGCAGCAGCAACTGCAGAAGCAACAGCAACTGCAGCAGCAGCAACTGCAGCAGCAACTGCAGCAGCAACTGCAGCAGCAGCAGCAACTGCAGCTCCCTTTGATGCTGTTAATCCTGCATAATGCACATGCATATGCAGTACTAATCACATTCCTGCATTTCCCATAAATATGCTAAATTCCTCTTGATTTGCAAATTCCTTTGTCAAGGCGCCCAGCTTATATATATATGCTCCAAGCTCGTGTGCTGTTTCATTCAGACTCTGTCGCCTCGACGGACCTGGTTTTCACCTGAGGACGGCTGCTTGCGTTGTGGCCGAAACGTTGTGAGAATAATTTTATTATGTTTTATTTTTATTATTTTATTACTTCCCTTCTACGTGACTTTACCGA